AGAAACGACCTGCCCTGAGAGTGGATCCAAGGAAAGAAGCCACCTTCACCACACAGCTCTCCTGGTAAGAATCAGAAAGTAGCCTCACATCCGGCACAGGAAGCAGTCAGTGAGCAGCTACAGGTTACTCTGTGGATGTGACACAGTCATTTAACGAGATGGAAATGTGCATCTCAGAGCGCCGTGAGAAGGACTCGAAGTCAGGAATTAATGGAAGAAACGAGAGGACAAATGATAGGACTTAGGGGAAGTCACTCAGGGAAAGACCTGGAATGAAACAGAAGCAGGGCAGCATCGGTGTTTGGGGTGAGTGACCATGAGTGACCTTCACCTTGATTTTAGCTGGCTGGAGGAGGGAGGGTGGGATATGATGTTTTAATTTTGTTTAAAAGCTTCACTGAGAAACATGGTTGCAGCTGAAGGCTCGTCTTAGAGCTGTGAGTTCAAACTCCATCACTTAGTAGATGTGGAAGCCAAGGCATGGGGAAGGCTGCCCAAGGCTGCAGGACAGAAGAAGGAAAAGCTCAGGTCTCCTAGCATGGTGTGGGGGGAGTGGTGCAACCCTGCCCCTAAGGGCTGGCCCAAGGGACCAGAAGAGGGACTTCTCAGGGTTGTGTGGCAGGGTGGACTTGGGGCTCAAAGAAATGCGATCTCTGTGAATGGGAACCCTGCGTTCCCTCAAGGGTGACTCATTCTTTAGCCCCTTCACTAGGGTCTCAGGAGTTGGGTTGTCCATCTTGACACCCTTAAATTGACAGAATGGCAATGGATTGAGTCCCTCTTTGTGGGGATTGGGGCTTGGAGCCAAATGTCCTTGGGTTTGAATACAAAATCAGGCAGGGGACTTGAACAAGCATTCCATAGAAGAAACTATCCAATGGCTGATCAACAGGAAAAAATACTTCAGTAAGCAGCCATCAGGGAAACACAAACCACCAGAAAGGACAAGGGAGAAGGATGGACTCCCCCACCCTGCCCAAGCGCTGGTCAGTTTTGGATGGTGGGGTCTCCTTGAATGATAAAGTCTTTGGGTCAGGGTCAGGTCAACAAACACCAAGCCCCTGCCAACAATGGTGCCAAGTACTCACCAACAGGGAGAATCTCTGCTCGGAGGAACCCCAGATGGGACACAGTCAAGCCTCCATCAGCGGGAGGATGGGTGAACACACGGCCCTACGTGTACACAACAGAAGACAGTACAGCAAGAGAATGAAGGCTCTACAGCCACAGACTACCCCACAAACAGCATGGAGGGAGAGAAGCCAGAAAAAAAGGACCACACACTGCACCATGTGGTCCATTTACACAACAACAGAACAGGCAACACCTTGCTGTGAGAGTGAGGTCAGCTTGGATCAGCAGGAGCAGCACAGAGGGACCAAGTGACCTGGGTTCTGATCCATGGTGTGCTGTTTTGGAGACAACTGAGCTGGGCAGCTTTCTGCAAGGGTGTCACACCTGAGCGCAAGGAGGGATCTGGGAGGGAGTCCTTGGGGCCCTACACTATGATACCAGGGATACTTGGAGGGCTGAGTGGAGGTGATGGAGCGCTGGATGGAGGTGAGCAGGGGCTGAATGGAGAGAGGGCTGGGTGGAGGAGGGAGGGCTGGGTGGAGGGGTGAGGGTTGGGTGGAGAGGCAAGGGTTGGGTGGAGGTCCAAGGGTGGGGGGCTTCAGGGAAGAAGGGGATCTGCAGGGAGGGTGAGGGCTAGGTGGAGGGGTGAGGCCTGGGGGGGAGGGAGGTGGCCTGGGGGAGCAAGGCTGAGGGAGGTGGGGACCTAGGGTGCTGCCTGCAGTATCTTCTTGTGTTGTTCTGGGCTCAGCCTGGGTTTTGGGGAGGGGGGGCACAAAGAGGTCATGGCGTCTCCATCTGATGTACAAAATGTTAGTGCTGGATGGTCACCCAGCCCCTGGGAGCAGCTCCTCAAAGTGACTGTGGATGCATTTCAGGGCAGAGAGGCCCTCACTGGGGGACTGCAGAATGGTTGCTTAAGCCCTTGGAGATAGGACAGCAGGCTATGCTACCCTGTGAAGTGAATGAGGTGGTGACACTGGGCATTGTGTAGAGGACCTGAGGTCACAGATTGTTTACAGCTGGTCTCCACCAGTCACCCAGTGCACTGGGAGCCTCCGACTGGACCACAGCTGACCCTGCAGAGCTGCTTCCTTGTGAGAGGCAGGCTGGTGGAAGAGAGAGTGAGGTAACAGGGTGCAGGTTGTCTGTGCCAGGCAAACAGCCAGACCTGGTTCTCAGTGCCAGCCTCTCATCTCGGCATCACCTAAATGTCCACATCGTGCAGCGTCCCTACACCATGTGGACACCACACCTTCTGTGTGCCCTGAGATTTTGTCCTGCGGGCAATGGCATATGGACAGAGGTTGGAACCTGGCCCCTTAGGTACAATCAGTGTGCTCCACTATTAGAGGCTCCACCCATTCTCTGCCTCAGTTTCTTAATCTGAAATGGGTGGAATTCTCTGGTTGCTGCCTGGGCTCACAAAAATCCTACAAGGATGTTGTGTGTCAGTCTGCTAGAGTGACCGTCACAAGGTGCCACAGGCTGGGGCCTTACACAACAGAAATTTATCACGTCACAGTCCTGGAGGTCCAAGATCCAGGTGTGGGAAGGACTGATTCCTCTGAGGCCTCTCTCCTTGGTGTGGAGATGGTCACCTTCTGTGTTTTCACATGATCGTCCCCTATGTGTGCCTGTGTCCTGACCTCTTCTTTTAAGGACACTAGTCAGGTTGGCTTAGAGTTCACCCTCGTGACCTCATTTGACCATAATGACCCCAGAAAGGCCCAGCCGCCTGTTGAGCACCAAGGGGTTAGGACTCTGAATTTTGGGAGACAAGACTCAGCCCTCAGGCCTCATGTGGTCCTTGCTCTGGAAATGACTGGAAAAGCCAATGCTCCAATAGCACTGTGTGCACAAGGAGGACCAAGGGTTCTTGGGGACTTTCTTGTCCTCCTCCCTCCTTCAGGAGACATGTCCCTGCTCTGGATCAACTTTGTCCATGCCGACCCCACTTCTGGAGGGACAAGGGACCTGTCCCAAAAGGTCAGTTTTCTATCTCTGCTGAACTCCACCAGAGGCCGGCACTGCATGCCCAGTGATGGAGCAGCACTTCACCCCACAACTCAGACTCTACTCCCCAAATCTTTACCCATCCTGGGGCTTTAAGCCCGAGTCTGTACAGAATAGACACGCATACCTCAGAACTCGTCAGTGACTGAAACTCGCAGGCATGTGTCTCTGGAAACATCATTTGTTCATTTAATAGGTCTAGATGGGAAGACCAGCTTTTTGCTTTTTTTTTTTTTAATCTCTGATGGTTTTCAAAGAATTTGAACTCTTAACACTATTGCAGGATGAAATTTTTCACTGATGAACTCCATCTAGCTCTCTTCCCTCTCCAGCTTCTAAATCCACCTGGATCAGTCCTCTATCAGTTCATCTACATCTTCCTTCATTCCTTGTTCATCCATTCACTATTCCTCCACCCACCCACCCAGCCATCCACCTGTGTCCATGCCGTCCATCCACCCATGTCCACCCCATCCATCCTGTCCACCAACCCAGCCAGCGTTCCACATCCTCAGTGCTCTCCTCATGTGTGTGGCCCTTTTGCTGGGAGCTGGGAGACAGATGACTCAGCCCAGGCCCCTGACCTCAACGAACTTCCCGACCAGTGGGGAGATTGACCACAACCCCTTGTGCTGTCCAGAGGATGGGGCTACATGGATACTGGTGGTGGAGGAGGCAGGCCATTAATTCCTTTTGGCAAACAGGTCATAGCTGAGCAGGGAAAGTGACAGGCCATCATGACTCTACCATGTGGGCAGTGAGTCCTCTTGTCAACACAACATCCACACCCATACAGGGCTGCCGGGCAGGTGGGGACAGGCACAAAGGGCATGGAGAGGCCTCAGTGCCACTGGAGTCAGGAAGGTGAGTGGCGGCAATGCTGACCTCAGATTCACAGAGCCTCTCAGCTGGAGCCACGTGGAGCTAATCCTGTGACTCCCTGGATCATGGAAGAGGCTTGTGATGGAGGGACACGCTGGAGCCAGGTCCCTGGGCTTCTCCATCAGTGGCTGGGATAGGACAGCCCCACTTCTGCCCCAGTGCCACTGTCAGATTCAGGAGATTTGCCCAGTGATCCTGGGACTGCGTGTCAGAACAGTCCCAGGATGCAGGAAGCAGAACGCATTCCAGGGCCCAGCCCAGGGTCCAGCTTAGTGGGCCATGTCCTTCCCTGTGCCCCCGCTGTGTTAGGGACCTTCACACATATTGTCTCAGTCGGTCCTTATGACCCTGGGAGGCAGGTAGCATAACTTCATAAAGAAGGAAACAAATGTACAAAGGTTGAGAAATGTGCCCAAGTCCATGGCAAGTGACCAAGCTGGGATAGGACCTTGGGTCTACTGCCCACACTTGCCCTCCATATGCAGCAACACACCTCCCAGTAGCTGTGTCCCGTGGGCATAGGAACCTGTGCCTACATGTTTATTTTGTTTTTATATGCCTTGCCCCGGGGCAAAGATAAAAACTTTAAAGAGATGTCAAGAATTTTTGCAAACTGAATTAATGTCCATAGAACGAACACCCAGAGGGATACCGTGAGCAGCCCTGGTCTTGGGTTTTGTTTTTGTACCCCAAGCGTTCAGCCCTGGTAAGATGATCTGCATGTTCCCATTGCAAAGCAAACATTCCACGTAATGTGGCGTCCTCGCTTGACAGCACTTGAATCGGACTCGGGAACCCAATAAACGGTGGGGCAAACTTAACCCTGACTCAGTGCCATCAGCTGAGTCACTAAGGAAGGGGCAACACCTTCAGTCTCATGAGTGAGCGGGCAGAGGGCAAATGGGGTGATGTCCTCACTCCCCTTCACACCTCCCACGACACTGGGAATGTCTCCCTCTGAGCATCAGAGAGCAAACTGAGTCACTTTCCGGCAGCTGCCGGGGAGGCTGGGGGAATGGAAAGTAGCTGAGGTTGGTCCTTGTGCTTGCCTGGGAACAGGGTGGCAGTGCATTCCTGGAAGCCGTGGGAATCTGGATTCTCACAGGGCCACACTGATGTCTTGGGTTTAAGGTTGAAGATTCTGCATCCGATCGAATGCCCCAGTGTAAGTTTTACTGACAGAGTGGCTGCAGAGTAGAATCAAAAGCAAAACAGAGACTGACTGGGGTCGCCAGTAGCATAGAGCAGCATAGATTGCCAACAGACTGAGGTTGTCCTCTGCAGGCACCCCAAGGGCCAGACAGTCCCCAGCTGTGGCCACAGCCATGGCTGGGGCTCCCAGTGTGGGTTCAGTTGAACTCAGCTCACCTGTCTCAAGCAGCCGGGACACTGGTGGGCTCCCACATCTGATGATTGCTGTAGAGGATGTGGGTCCATCCAAGGAGACTTGGTATCACACAAGTCAGGCAGAGTGACTCTGGTACTCAAAGGCGGCAACACGGGACAGGAGTGCAGGATCCACAGGAGCTGGTCCCTAACGGCTCATCTGTGCAAGTCCATGTTGCACCGCAGAGGTGCCCTTCACTCCCGCCTGTCCTGGACATTTCCACCTTATCTCAGGGTGTTGCATTCTCCATACATTCTGCCTGAGAGTTTCGAGGAAGATCTGGGTCAGCAGAGGCCTTCCATGTCCTGCCTCCTGCAGCTGAGCTGCTTCCTCTGCTCTCCGACTCCTGGGGCCATGCCTCTCCTGCCACATAGGCTGCTCCAGCATCCAAGTCAGTCCTTAGGAGGCATCCAGCAGCCCCTTGGGCTTGGCCCTCTCACTGGGCCAGTGACCAAGACAAAGACCATGGCCCAAAAGCAGCTGAGTCCTAGTGCTGGGTGGGGCCACGTTTCTGAAGCCCATGGGCTGCCTCAGCTGGGGAAGAAACCTGGACAGAACAGGGGCTCTGTTACCAGAGGACAGAGCTGGGGGCAAGACACAATGCCCACAAAGCCTACCACATGAGAGGAGGGAACCAGGACCACCTGACCTGCAGTGGACCTGGACTGGGGCATTTTCCTGAGGGAGCCACATTTCATGTGAAAGTGGACAATGACAAAATGCCAACATGAGGGCTGGAGGTGTGGCTTGAGTGGTGGAACACCTGCCTGGCAAGCATGAGGCTCTGAGTTCAACTACCAGCACCAGCGAAGAACAAAACAGGTCACACAAGCCAGGTCCAGGAGAAACCCCCTGTGATTAGGACTGGGTCCCTTCCTGCGCCTGCTGTCCTTGCATGGTGCTGGGTGTGGTTAAACAGCTTGTGGGATAGAACCACCTTAAATATTTTTTTTGCAGGGGGACTAAAAAGCAAAAGGGGAGAAGCAATTAGAGCTTGCACAAAGCTATCAGAAGGGCACCAAAAGTGACAAGCCCAAATGGCTGCTCTGTGTCAACTGCACATCCCACAATGGAAAACTACCCACTTCTCTGCTGCCACCATTAGCATCAGTATCCACAAAGACGTCACACAAGGTATGAGAGGCAAGCTCAGGTGGCGGTGGTTATGCTGGTTTCTGTCTTCTTTATTGGCTTTCTAAATGTTTTCCATCCACTTCCCAGCTAGCCCCACACAGCCATAGCTGCAGGAAGCTTGCCCCTCCTGTCCACTAGGTCCAGAAGCTTCTCTCACGCTGCAGGCATGGAGACTTACAGCCACTGACACTGCCACCAGCACGCACTCGCACCCGCCACCAGGTGAGAGGGTCTCTTGCCGGGGATTCTGTCCCAATCCTGTCTTTCCAGTAATGTGATCCACCAAAGGCATTTCCTGAACGTCAGAAGCCAGACAACGGGCTGCCCTTGCCGGGGGAAGATTGCTTCTGCAGGGCGGGGAAATACTGTCACACAGGAAAGTGAAGGGACTGGTAAGGGGTTGGGGAAGATGAGAGTGAAGCTGTCATTATTGCTGATGGCACAGAAGGACAGCCAAAGAGAATCAATGGAAGACTAATAGTTAAATAAGATTTTAATGAGGTGACCAATAACAAAACATAGGAAATCCAGGCAGCTTCTTATCAAAACAACTCAAATAAACTGTCTTAGAGGGAGACTACTTACTACAAAGATGTAGTCATGATTATAGAGATATAGACATCCTGGTGTCAATCTAGAAGTTAAAACCTCCCACAAATTCCAAAGAACGTTTTCTTGATTTGTGGGTGGAAGAATGCCCAGTCTTGACCAAATCATACCAAAGATCACAAATCAAAGACATTTTTTAAGAGATGAGAGAGGAGGCTTTATTTGTATCAACAGATACTAGCAGTTTGAGAATCAGAATAATGAAAGCAATAGAAGCTGACAAGAGAAAAGAGAATCTAACAGAAGACTGCAGAAACACACCAGGACATGTGATTCTGGCATTCAGTAAGGTGGCAGGTGTTATTATTCAATGGGCTCCCTACCTCACACCATACCTCAAAGTAAATTCCCAGCGCACTAACACTGAAATGTACTCAAAGAAAAACAGATGAAATTAGAAATAATCTTTGTAGGGGAGAAGAATTTCCAAGGATGACTTCAAAGGCACAAGTGATTCTCGTTTTTGTTTTTAGACGCATTTCTGATTTAAAAGTTTAAGTGTTGCTATTTTAAATCAAAAAGAAAAAAAATTAATTAGGAAGCAAATGACAAATGAGGAAAAATAACTTGTAATGGATATGTCACAGATTTACTACTCTTAAGATGTAAAAATATGTCATCTATAAAAATACTCGAAAACCCAAATGTTCCATGAGCCAAAGAACATGAACAGGCATTACCGCAGCAGGACAAATATGGAGACAGAATGTAAGGCAGGGTGGGCTCAGCCTCACTAGCCAAGGAACAGCAGGGGACACAGGGCACAGGCAGGAGGAACAGCAAGGGCCCTGCTGTAAGTCACTTCTGCCCTTGAAGACACAGATGCTCCTGCCTTCCTTGGAGGCAGCTGGCGACAGGAGACTCACCGAGAGCCATGGTATGCCAGGCTCTGGCTTTTGTGCTCTTGCACACAACACAAGGTGGGCACTCTTATGCCTGCTATTTCCTAAGCAAGGACGTCACATATCCAGGACTGTTGTGGCTGGGATCTGCCAGGACTTGGCCCCAGACTGTGCTTTCACTGCTGCTTGGCTGTCTCAGTTCCCTGTCTCTCACCATGGCAGCTTGGTATCCAAAGCCTACAAATGCAGAGCCTGTCTCAGCAAGACCATCCTGGAAGCTGGCCACATGCAAAGACGCAGGTGCCATGTGGCCACCACAGAGAAGCTTAGAGTGTCAATCTCCAGGCCTATGTCTCTCTGGAGGTTGTTAATCTGTGTGCCTGTGTCATTTGCTAGGGGAAATGGCCACGATCTGCCTTTAGATGCCCATGAAGAGTCTTATCCCATTTCTGACAGGAAAGACACACACACACCCGAGAAGAAAGCACCCACCATGCTGCATGGTGCATGCTGACGTGCCCACCGGTGAGATGAACCCATACACAAGGGCCAGGCAGTGGAGCACCCCACCCTTATGGAGGGGCACAGAGGACCACATGGCAGCACTGGTCACTGTCACTGCTCCGGCTTCACTGCTGGATGGAGGGAACCTGGCATGATCAAAGGATCACAGTGAACTCAATCCTGTGCCCTTGGGTCTAAAGTAAGTAAAATATAAGCAGTTAGCTCTGAGTGTGGGCTGGAAGTGAGACTAATTTTCTTCTATGAACTTTCTGTGTGGCCAAAAGAGGACCAAATGACTATGCACTACTTTTAGAAGCAGAGGGATTGGGAGAAAGCCGGGACTAAATTTAAGTATTTCATTTCACTTATTCAAGGTTTTGTTGCATTTTGGAGGCAGGGTCTTTCTGTGTATCCCAGACTGGTCTTGAACTTGTGATCCTCCTGCCTTAAGCCTCCCAAGTGCTGAGATTATAGTTGTGCACCATCATACCAGGTTCCAACTACTCAAGTTTTACTGCTGCTTTCAAATGTTTTGTTTTTAGGTTCTCAAAGTAGTCTCTGATGATTTCCTGGACTTCCATGGTGTTTGTTGTTATCTCCCCTTTTGCATTCCTGATTCTACTAATTTGGGTAAATGGATGGAATTGGAGAACATCATTCTGAGTGAGGTTATCCTGGCCCAAAAGACCAAAAATCGTATGTTCTCCCTCATATGCGGACATTAGATCAAGGGCAAACACAACAAGGGGATTGGACTTTGAGCACATGATAAAAGCTTTAGCACACAAGGGAGGGGTGAGGATAGGTAAGACACCTAAAAAACTAGCTAGCATTTGTTGCCCTTAACGCAGAGAAACTAAAGCAGATACCTTAAAGCAACTGAGGCCAATAGGAAAAGGGGACCAGGAACTAGAGAAAAGGTGAGATCAAAAAGAATTAACCTAGAAGGTAACACACACGCACAGGAAATCAATGTGAGTCAATGCCCTGTATAGCTATCCTTATCTCAACCAGCAAAACCCCTTGTTCCTTCCTATTATTGCTTATACTCTCTCTACAACAAAATTAGAGATAAGGGCAAAATAGTTTCTGCTGGTATTGAGGGAGGGGGAGAGGGAGGGGGCGGAGTGGGTGGTAAGGGAGGGGTGGGGGCAGTGGGGAGAAATGAACCAAGCCTTGTATGCACATATGAGTAATAAAAGGGAAAAAAAGTTTTGTTTTTAAAGTAACTCCAACCTACAACGTAGCGAAGACCGCAGATAATATCGCCTCTACCTGCTCCACTCCCGCTCACTGAGCCCACCCTCAGGTCTGGGGCGGAAGAGACAGGTGGTCTGGAGAGCAGGGCCTGTGGGTAGGTGACACTTCCCTGTAATACACCCTCTGCAGGTCACAGATGATCAGCACACACATTGATCAAATTCTGCCTATTCAGCGTGTCAGCCCCTGCTCTGGGGACGAGGACACTTCCAACAAATGGCAGGAAAATGCCACCACCACAAAGTTTCCCTGAATTCACGAGTCCAGCTGTCTGACACTGACAAGTCACATGTGTTCCTTCTCCTGGCTGCAGCATCCCCTCCGACCTTGGGCAACTTCTAAGACTTGTTGGTGAAAGAACAGGTGGTTTCCAACCAAAGACTGGATGGTAAACTGAGGTCCCATATGATCAAAAAGGCAACACAATGAAAGCCTGCTCATTATTGGACAAGGCAGGCTGAGGCCTGCTCTGGAGGGGTGAGGTGAGGTGGGACGGACTTGAGACACCAACCCCGGCTGGACGGAAGGACAAGGAGGACTCAGGACCCCTAATCGTTGGGAAGAGTCATGGCTCTCCAGAGGGGCCCGTCTGTAAACACACAGCCCCATGACCCATGAGGGGCATCTAATAGAAATCCAAGTGGGCCAGCTGGCAGCACTTACAGGCCCATCCTCTCCCTTGGGCTGGGAGCCTCCAGGGTGGCTGAGCTGGGACTCTAGGCCTCAGAGACCTGGCCGGGCTTGTGGGGAGTGAGCCCCATGGGCCTTAGCAGGCACCAAGGGTTTATGATGTGAGTCTGCACTCAGGACCAACCCACCCGAATGGCTAAGGGCCTGGAATCCTTCGTCCCTATCCTGTCTGACAGCAGGAAGAGGTGGACTCAGTGGACCATGTGCCCTCCACAAAAGCAAAGGGCTCATTTAAACAGTGGCTGGCTTTGGGGGACATGTCACACGTGGAAGGGTTTGCTGAGGAAGGCTCTATGGAGACCAGTGACACAGGGCATTTTAACTGTTAGGAACAGACAGAATGAACACATCCCATACAGAGTAATCTGCAGGAGGCTGAAGGTCAGTGGCTAAGCTGTCCAGACAGCCAGCTCCCCATGCATTTCTATTTCCTTGAAGGAAACTTCTAGCTCCACAAAAGAAACAGCGTTTTTCTTTCCTTAAAAGTTTTAGACTATGTCATTCAGCTGGTCCATGGTGCAAGCTAATAAGGATACACTGAGATGGATTATGTGACAGAGTACATTGACGAAGGGTCAGACCCGTACCACTGACTCCGCAGCGCTTTGTAAAAACCCCAGTTGAAAAGACAGAAAGAGCTTAGTCTCAGCAGTCTGCGTGACATTCAGTCTGTCAGGAGAATGGTAAAGCTGCTCATCAGCCACAGCCATGTGTCTACCGGGAAGATGCGATCACTCATGTTCCCTTCACACAGTGAATCAGCGCCACCCCATACTGACCCTGCATGTCGGTGTGACCCATCAGCGTGACCACGGTGTGACATGACCACCTGCCAGCAGCGGTGCAGCGTGCATGTTCGGGAGCCGGTGGCATCTCAGTCTCCTGGAGCCAGAGCCATGTCCAGGCCTTGCTGGTTTCAGTACTTGGTTAGACTTGGCCGTGGCTGCTGCACCTACAGCTTGGCCTTCAGACTGCCGTCCACAGGTTTGTTCACTGCGAACTCTGGCCACCACGATGCCCGCTCCAGCACCCTGCTCTCCTGCAGCATGGCATTCCACAGGTTCTTATAGAGCTGCAGAAAACAGACCCAGACAAAAATGAAGAGGAGATGGCTGCATGTGCAAATGTGACCCCTCAGATTTTGTTAAAGACAGAAAAAATTCTCTATTATTACTTTTTAGAAAATGTTGATGATTTAAGTTCACTTTATTTCAATCTCTGCTTAGTAAATAATTAGGAAAATACAATTAAGGGCCATAAAATCATTTATGATGGAAACTTCCCCTTCCCTGTCTCACTGTAGGCGTGGGTGCTCTGCAGCTGCACAGGCATAGCCACCCTGCATTCCCAAAGCCACACTGCTGTTCTGACACTGTCCCCAATCCCCCGTGCTGCAGCTGCACAGGCCAAACATGGCCATGCACAGAATGGGGTGGTCCCCTGGGCTCCCTGGGGCACCCTATCTAAGCCCACATGGTCCCTTTTCCCTGCCTCAGGTCAGGAGTGCTCAGGTCTTCCTGCAGGGCTGGAGTACGCTCCAGCTGCCTTCAGCCTGAGTTGCCTCGTGGGGCAATAGGAGAGCAGGTGTCATCTGGAAGAAGGGGTCGATCAGACTGGCTGGGACCTGGTCCTGTTCCACTCAAGACCTAGGGGCAGCCTCAGGTTGAGCTGCAGTGGGGAGGATGGTTCTGAGGAACCCATGGCTCTGAAGAAACTGTGTTGTGGAGACACAGGGAAGTGGGCCACTCTGTGCTGGCTGCAGTTGACCTGTGTCACTTTACAAAGCCAGGTGCCTGCACCTGCCAGATGAACTCTCCCATTGCTCCCAAAGAGACAGGCCTGGGCTGTGTCTTCCAGGGGCATAAATTCAGGTTGCATTTCACTGTCACGAGCATTGTGCCCCACTAATGTTCTCCCAGATGATCTAAGTGGGGTTTGTTCATGGCAAGTGCCTTTTATTTGGTAGCACCTGTTCAAACACTGGTTTCCTGAAGCTGGGGAAACACAGGGGTCTAAACTGCCCTGCCAGGTGATGCCTCGGTGGCTCAGGTTTACTGCGGCACCTGAAGCCAGAGGGGCCCCTCTCCATCCCGGATCAGCTCTGCCTTCAGCTCCCCGCCCCGCCACCCTAGAGAAAAGTGTAGTGCCCAGACACTCAAGCCTACTGTGGTTCCTTCTGCCTGGGACAGGCCTGTATGCTCAGGGGTCCTCTCACAACACCACCTGGATCCTCCAAAGCAGGCCCACTTACAAACGCTCCACTGGCCTGCCCACCTGGTGAGGCCCCCAAAGGCAGGGCAAACCCCTCTCTCCAGTGTGAGCACTGGGGCCCAATGTCCTCTCCTCGACTTTTCTCCAAACCCCTGGACCAGATCACGGCCATATCCTGGTTCTGCTGATTCCTGGCTGGGCAGCCCTGGGCAACCCACTGGCTTCTCTGGACCTCAGTTTCTCATCAGCGAAGTAGGCATGACAACATGTACTGTGGGGTACGGGTGCAGCAATGACCCACAGCTGAAAACCACAGTCCCTGCGGGTATTTCAGGTCTGCCTGGAGGTCCTGCCCTCATCCTGCCCCCCTGGACCCCTGGCCTGCATCTGCCCACGGTACACTGCAGGTGTGGCAGGGCTGCCCTGAGCTGGGGTGTCTGCTCTGACTGCACAAACCCGTTATGGGCTTATAAAATACTGATGTTGGCACTCCCCGAGGTCCACGGACTCCTATCCACTCTGTCTCCATTTTGTCAGAGCCCCAGGTCCTCAGCAGAAGGACAGCGTCCTGGGGGTGGGGGGTTGGGTGGAGCTAAATCCGTTCCACGACTCACAATCATCAGACCTCAGGCATGTGACGTAATGCCACGTTAAAACAGAGAAAAGAGCAGCAATGGCCCTGTGGGCAGTAACAGGCTGGGTGACACAGCTGGACCTGTTTGGTCCCTCTGCAGGGTTTCACCATGTAGTGGAGAGAGTCACATCCAGAGACACCTCAGGCTCAGTGATTAGGGCTGCCAAGTCACATGGCAGCAGGGTGAGACCTGTACTAGGGGTAGCCAGAGAAGGCCTCTGTGAGGAGGCAGCAGCACTCAGTGTAGGCTGAGGGAACAAAGGGTGCTCCCAGCACTGGGACAGCAGGTGCAAAGGCCCTGGGGTGGGAATGAGCCCAGCACTCTAGAACACAGGAGGAGAGTGAGGCTGGAGTGCAGGAGGCAGCACAGTGGAGAAGAACAGGCTCAGCACAGAGGGCAGGGGTGCAGGGGACCCAGCTCTACCTCAGGTGAGGGGAGTGCTGGTGGAGGGCTCTGTCAGGGGAGAGACCTGACCCAACCTGATTCTAAAGAGCCCATTCTGGAACTCAGGAGCAAGAAGAGATCAGGGGGCCATGCAGGGGTTGCACAGGTGGATGGGGGGTAGGGGAGCAGTCCCTCAGTGAAGATGGTCAGAGGGGACAGATGGCTGGGGGGTTGAGATCAGGGTTGGGAGGCAGAGGACTTAGAGACCAAGTAGACAGACATGCCTGACCAGGAGGACCAGGGTAGGGTGGCTGCCACGTCAGCTGGCTGGCACTGACACTGTGGCTGCAGGAGCCAGCCCTGTGAGATGGGGTCAGGAATAGAGGCTGCATGCCTGGCCTTCATAGGCAGTGCCCACCTGCCCACCCGGGTCCACCACGGGGAAGGATGCGGCCCGGAACCAAGAGCCAGCAAGACGGACAGGCGGTAAAATCACCAGGACTCCTCCTGCCCTCAAAGTGTGGCCATTCCCCAGGGAGCATCCGAGCCTCCTGATCCCCAGCACCATTCAGGTTCTGCAGAGACCCCCGCCGGCTGCCCCCTTACCTCGCCATCAGCTCTGCCGATTGGGGAGTTCAGAACAGAGTCGGGAGGGGCGATCACGTCTACCAGGGCCACGGCGTCATCTTTCAGCTGTTAGGAAACAAAGTCCTTACACTTGGCAAGGTCCTAAAGTCTCCATGGTGACCACTGAGTCATACAGCCAGGGCCGCTGGTTGCTAAGGCTTGCTGGAACTGCAAACCCAAGCAAGCAGGAAGGACTAATGCCCCAACTCTCCATGGGGAGGGGTCACAGACTGCTGGGAGAGTGTTTGCACGCTTCCATCTGCAGAGGATGCTGGCAGAAGCAATGGGCACAGCTCATTACACAGTGCTATTCCCAGAGGCTTGTCCCTGGCCCATCCAGCAACCACTGGGACAAGAAAGGATGCCCGAGCCACCAGGGGAGAGAGAGAGCACTGTGAACTCTGCAGGAGCCACTGGCATGTCAGTCCTTGCAGGGGCAGCAGTTTCATGGCTCCCCCATCCATCCCACAGGTGCTCATGGACACGGCAGAGACACCAAAAGACACGGCAGTGACTCCAAAGAGACGCCAAGAATTTTCTTGTTTTCTTCTGATGGTACTGGGGTTTGAACTCAAGGCCTTGCCCTGGTTAGGTGAACCACTCCCCAGCCCTTTTTTGCTTAGTTATTTTTCAGATAAGGTCTCCTATTTTCTGCCCAGGGCTGGTCGGCCTCTGACTGCAATCTTCCTACCTGCACCTCTTGGTGGCTGGAATTACAGATGTGCATCGTCATGCTTGGTTTGTTGATTGTTTGCTCTGACTGGCCTCAAACCTCCATCCTCCCAATTTCCACCTCCCAAGTAGCTGAGATTACAAGTGTGAGCCATGGTGCCCAGCCCAAGAATTTTCTTGAAATGCAAAAATATTTTTTCTTCAAACAACTAGTAACTTCAAATAACTGCTGTTGAGCACACTGGCATGGGAAACAGCCTCAGAATTGGACAAGTGTTGGGGTGACTGCATGATGTAGATGGAGAGCCTTGTAATTGAGGCTGTGCATCGGCACCAGAACACTGAACAGAGAGCAGACAGAGGCTTGTGACAATGAACCACTCACCTGCGCACATAGGTGCAGGATGGCGTCCTCCATCGTTTTCCCTGCTTGCTCACCAGAGAAGTATCCACCTGCAAGCACAGCCTTCATTACGCTCGGGCCAGGCCCTCAGTGCAATTCCACAGCAGCGCCTCCCCAGGGACCTTCTGAGTTAGCCCTGTAGGTGCCTATTGTCGGCGGAGTTGTCAGAATGTCACTGTGTCAACCTTAGCCTACTGTGACCCCCTGAGAAGGAATGCAACAGCTCGGGGCTGGTTCTGGAGTCCTGTCCCAATCGGTTCTCTGGGCATGCGTGGGCAGGTCACAGCCAGGACTGGGAGCACAGAGGCAGGCAAAGCCTGACAGTCTGGAGGAAGCAGGAGGATGGACTGCTGGGGCTCATACCAGCTGGAGCTTGGAGGCTGGGCCAGGTTTCCCTTCAAGGAAGTGAGTGGGGAAGGGCATCTGGGTGAACAAAGTGGTGTGCACAGGTGGAGGTGTGCAGTGGATGAGGTGCCTGTCCCCACTGTAGGTGTGAGTGTGGGGCTGGGTCTGAGAGGGGCCACAGAGCTGAGCACATGGGGTAGGTGCCTCTGAAGCCACCATGGGACAGGGTGGGAGACGTCACCTCCAGACCCTGCAGCTTTCTCAACAGGTCCAGGGACAGCAGTTTTGTGTGTTTGAGGTTAGTGGCTGAATCTACTTTTACGATAACTTTTATTTTTTGTGGGACTAGGGTGTGAACTCAGGAAGTTGCACTTGCAGATCAGGTGCTCCACTGCTTGAACTACACCTCCAGTCCATTTTGCTTTGGTTATTTTGGAGATGGGGTCTCTCAAGCTATTTGCCTCGGCTGGCCTCAAACCACAATCCTCCTGATCCCACCCTCCCAAGTAGCTAGAATTATAGGTGTGAGGCACCAGTACTTGGACTTGTAGTGATTTTTTATGAAGTAGAGGGTGCTAGTCACAGAATTTCTCAGACAGCAAGTGGGATTCTGCCCTGTCCTGCTCTGTTCATGCCCTCCTTCTTCCCAGAGCCCTTGGTCCTCCCTCTGTGGATCTGGAGGCACAAAAGCTGGTTCTTGGTGGGTGGGTGGGGCCTCTGGCTTCCTAAGCCTGAGGTGCACATGATGGGACAGTGAATGTGGCAGGAAGGTATCATAGGCAATTAGGAAACCAGCTGAGAAGCCTCTTCAGGAGGGCAGCAACTAACAGGAGGCCAAGAACACTGGCTCACCAGTTCCCCAACTTCCCAGGAGTCAGCCCAGCTGCCCCTCCTCTGGGAAGCCTCCAGGTTCCTGATTAGGAATTTCTGGGGGTACTCCCCTGACAATCAGGTTTGTGTCTGTCTGTGCCTTGGGCTTTGAGGGCTGGGCTCAGCTTTCTGAATCTAGCCCACTGCCCGGCATAAGAGGGCCTTCTGGAAGCACCCTCTGATTAACCTGGAGAGGGGCGTGGCAGGTGTGCTGTGTACAAGGAAAGTGCATCTTACAGCTCCATCCGACCCTTCTCTGGCCCCACACTTGCCTCCTGTCTGTGTCTCACGTCCCACTGTGGAACCTAGGCTCCTCGATCAGGTTGTGCTCGTCCCCTTCAGCTGACAGGGCTTAATGAGCCCTCAGGGAAGGTGGCTAGCAGAGCCACCCAGGTAGAGTGGGCACCCATTCCCTGCAGAAGGGGCGCCCGGGGCCGCAGGCCTCACCTCGGTAGAGCACAGCCACATGCTGGTTCAAGGACCACAGAGCGTAGAGTGCGCTGAGCCGCTCGAGCACAGCTCTCAGTGAGGGTGGCACACCAGGGCCATGCGTGAACTCGTGGAACCTCTGTGCCACGATGAGCTCCATGAAGGCCAGAGCCAAGGACCGGCAGTAGTACACCTTCAAAACAGAGCCCAGAGCCCAGTGACCACAGGAGGAACCACCAGGAAATGCAGACCAAGGAGTGCATTCAGTAGGCATCCACAGTGCGCTGAGGCAAAGCAGTGTGAGGGCACAGCACAGCACGAGAAATTTCCATGGAAACAACAGAAAAGGGGCCCGGGTCACTGTCACTTAGCTCCCACACGGAACTCGGGTGATCCGGCAGGCTCAGGAAGGCTGCTGTCACTACAGTGCAGGTGATACCAGCAGTTGTCCAGGGCACCTGCAGCTGGAGGACAGAGGGCTCCAAGAGCTGCTTGTGTCAATGGGGTGGACATGGTGATTCTGCTATACACAGGACAAGGCTGCACCCTCTCCACAGTTCCCAGAAAGCAGCTTTTGCCTCCTGCCTACAGACTGTATCCCCGACAAAAGAGCCCACAGGCCTCATGGGATCCATCCCTTCCCCAGCCAAAGCCTACTTACATCCCAAGAGTGCTCGCAAAAGCAGGACTCACTTGGCTCTCCTGGGCCCAGCCTATTCTGTTTTTTTTTTTTTTTTTTTTTTTCGGTAATACTGGGGTTTGAACTCTGCCTCACGCTTGTTAGGCAGGCGATCTACACTGAGCCACTCCATCAGTCCTTTTTTGTGATAGGCTTTTTCAAGATAGGGTCTCGTGAACTGTTTCCCCAGGCTGGCTTCAAACCATGATCCTCCTGATCTTCTGCCTCCTAAGTAGCTGGGATTATAGGCATGAGCCACCTGCATCCAGTAGCCTGTTCTATTTTTAACCAAGACCCAAAATGTTTGCAGATAATTACTGCTTCTTTCCCCGTCTCTAATTTATCATCTGATCAGACTTTTTAAATTGTGGAGGTGATGTGTGCACTGCTTGCACTGTGAGCATGAATATTGCTACTTCTGTGATTAAACAAAACTCCAGCAACAAGATGATGGGGATGTTGAGGAAGGCAGGAAAGGCTGCCAAGCCCCTATGTATGGCTTGGTCCCCACATCTGCCAGAACTCAGCACAGCTAGGTCCATGGCCACATACAAGGAGGGAGGCAGCACTGTACCCAGAGTGGGTGACTGCAGGGAGACAAAGCCTCCACTTCAAGGTCTGGTAACCTTTGGAGAGCCATTGTGGGGGTCTGGAGTTCAAGGCCAGCCTTCTCCCAGGGCCCCACAGAGATTAGAGCCTCAGGAGATGATAAATGGGGAGAAGACACTTTCTCCCCTGTGCCTCATTGGCTGGTCCTGCACTGAGGGCCCCACCGGGCCTCACACATCACAGGGCCATACACACTAGAGGGCAGGCTGTTCTGCAGGTGCAGACGGGCCCCATTCTGCTCCCGGCTGTTTGAGCACTGGGAGGGCCTTGGGCATGGCTCTGCCCTACCTTGCTCTGGCTCATGCTGAGTTGTGCCCTTGCTTTGGCAAGTGTGAGCTGGTGGCAGGACCTGGGGAGGTGGGACCACACTACTGACCCCAGGTAGGGCAAGTGACCAGATTCCTCGGGGTTCTACTGAGTGAAGCAGGCATGGCCCCCTGGTGCCCCTGCTTCCTGTAGCTGGTGATGCTGGTTGCAGTGAATGTTTGACAAGGTGTGGAACTCCAGCTTCCTGGGCCTTTCCTGCCCTCCCCCACTCAGTAAACAAAATACAGGGGGTTGAGGTGGAGAGAACTCGAACCAGGCAGGCTGGCTCCTACATCCACAGAGCACAGAGATACCATAAGCCCCACCAACAGCCAAATGTGTCACACACATAAGCCCCTCTCCCCCATAGTGTCCTCGCAGACCACAGGCCCACAGGCATGGGCACCTCCAGGACAGCCAGGTTAGGTGCAAACCACATTTGGCTGGCTCTCTGTCCCTCCCTCCTTCCATGCACAAGTGGACTTTCTAGCACTCAAGTGACTGCTGCATCACATCCTTCCTGAAAGTGACACTTTCATTTACACTACGTCACAGGCTCAACAGGTTGGTTGTGAGCTTGGGACAGCAGCCCTGCCTATAAGACCCCTGCTATCAAACTCATTCTGAGTCGCCTGGCTCTGAAGTGTAGACACAGTCAACTTCCAGATCAGCTGGGCTTCTGGGAACTGTGCATGAGTGGACAGCGAGCAAATGTCCCCATGCCTGTGTCCTCATCTGCAGCAGGGCTCCCTCCCGAGACTGCTGAGGGTCAGGGTAGATCTCTTGAGCGACATGCCTGCCCAGCCCTGGGAGCTCTGAGACATGGGCTCTATTGTGCTCTGCTGTATCTCGGCCCAGGATTCAACATGCAGGACACTTCTTAGTGTCTTCTGGGAAATGTCCAGATAAGATCCTTGGGACACGGGCTCTGGGGACAGAGTCCTGCATAGCGTCTATTGCTGCAATCAGCAGGTCTCACTGCAATACTGACCAAGGTGGGTGGGCACAGGCAGTGTTCTAAATGGTGCTGACGCCCCCATGGGAGAGCTTACCTAGTCAGTTACAGCTAGTACCCTCAGACCAAAAGGGTCCTGGCACCCAGAGACTGGTCTTCACACCCTACTGCTCCCCAGCCTTCTCCTGGGAGTCTCAGTGTCCACACACCATTGTGCCATCTCACTGAAGGCTGCAACACATACTTTTGGGACTTGTAGGAAGGACCACTGTCGCCTGGCAGCAGTGAGCTGGGGTACAGGAGAGAGGGCACACTTGGAGTGGGCTGGCCACTAAGGCCAGGCTTCCCTCTCATGAACCCTAACACACCTCCAGCCCCAGGAAAGCAAGGCAGAAACCACTGTCTGGTGCCCAGAATTTCTGAGGACCTCTGCACTTCCATAGGCAAAGGCCAAACTCTGATCTGGTCACGTGCAGACATAGTGACAAGTGAGGAAGTGGGGAAGAACCAGCTCGGGCTTAGCAGACACAGGTTCTGTAGCATTGGCAAAGCGGGGCCAGGAGACCTGTGGCATTTCTGTCCCTTAACTCCCATGAAAAGAGCTCCATGTGTGGCTTGAGGAAGGAAAAATGTCCCTGTGTTCCTTTTCTAAGGGAGATCCTGAGGAATCCCTAACAGGTTGGTCCTGGGGGTGGGAACATCAAGACAAGGCAGGGGTGTGGACACCATGGCCACCTTTACACATACTGGACACGTAGGGTGTCACCCAGCCCAAACACTAAAGACACTCTTTTGTTTTTAAATAACCACCTTTGTGCATGTAGCCTGCAGTAGGCAAGCAGCAAACAACAGTTATCACTGCCAGGAGCAAGCTCTTATTCTCTAGGTAAGAGCAAGCACACTTTTTATCTAACAAGGATGGTCAGTCCCCAAAAAAACTCTGTATGGCATAGCCACCACCAGCCCACTACCTGGGGCACCTAACTTCAGCCTGCACGTCCCTGGCACCAGCTCATGCCCCAGGCCAGGATGGCCTAACTGGGGGCACACTTTCCTCCTGTGCTGGTCCCCATCTACTGCCTGCTGAGGGCTTTCCCAGCCAGCATCTGCCTGACTGCTCACACACTCTTTTGCTCTCCAGAAGGCAGACAGTTGAATGGGTGGTTTTCTTCTCTCTTGTAGTCTCTGAATCTTCTGTTAAGAAGGCTTGTCCCCTGCTGGGGCTAATGGGACTAAGTAAACATCTCTGCTGCTTTCTTCTCTGGCCACATGGCTGCTTCCCTCACCAATAGGCAGAGACTGACTCCCCAGCAGGTCCCAGCATCAGACTCCAGGCTGGAGAGTTCCAGCAGTCAGAAAAGACCTCGTGCTTGCTCTCCAATGCCTGTGATCCAGAGCAGGTTGGAAAGGAAGCCCCTCCTGATCCTCCTTTTCTCCAAGGCCTCATGGCTGCCTCCTGTCTACAGCTCCTGCCTCTCCATATGACTACACCCTGGCTTGTGCCTAAGAGCTCCCCAGCAAATGGACACAGTCTCAGTAGGAACCCAGGCCCCTCCTGCTCTCTGCCACTGGACATATGTGTCACTTTTACCAAGGTCTTCAGGGAAGACCCAAAGGTAAATCACTTCTCCAAGCACCATACCACACGTGGGGCACAGGAGTCACATAAGCAGGCACTTAGCACTTATGGGCTGGATAGGCTGCCAAGGGGCAGCATGACAGGTCCACATGGTACTTCTGGGTAGTTCTAAGAACTGGATGTTGCTGGAAAAGGGCTCTGTGTGCCTCCACCACCTTGGGGCTTTTATTGGCAAACTCAGGAAGATGGCACCAATTCCACTTTAGAATCACAATGTGACCAGCAGAGGAAGGAATGGCTGAAGCTAATGTTCACTCATCATTCCAAACGAGCAAACCTGCAACACCAGGCCCAAGGGGCAGAAAGCAGCCTGTATCTGAGGCATCACTTTAAGCTTCCTATTTTTGACCCATAGGGCCCAGAGCTGAAGTTCAGACGCTGGGCAGCCTGATGAATTCATTTCTTTTAAGCTGTACATTTGGCTTTGGTTTATTTAAGCTCAGAAGGAGCCTCTGACTTCAGCAGGCTGTCCCTCTTTTGTCTCCTCACCCTGGGACTGGTGAGTCTGACAAGTTCCCAGCCCTGGCAACAGCAGAGTATGGGGCCTGGAGCCTTCTCAGGGCTCAGGTAGATGTGACCTGGGTTCCCAGGGGCAGCTCCATCCTGAGTCACCAAGGGTGAGGGACAGTAGCAGGTCTGCCAGATCCTGGCCTTCCCAGAGGACACCATCACCTAGGATCCAAGTGCAGGACTGCATCCACAATGCAACCTGGCATAAAAGGTGCTCTGCAGCAGGGTGTTTTGTAGCCAAGGGTTCCAGGGACACAAGAGGCAGCTCTGTTCCAGAGTGAGAGCTGAGCACTTTCTCAGCCAGCCTATACAAGCTACCATTGGCCTGGCCCCACCAAGGACTGTGAAAACAATGATGACTGAGGAAAGTCAAGTGCAGAGTGGTGGGGTGAGCAGTGAGCTGGCCTGAGTCACACCTGTCAGGCTGTGACCCACACTGGTGTTGCAGCCCACAGTGGGTCAAAGGTCTTATAGCTGATGGCCCCAACCCCAACAACTACAGCTCTGGTTCATTCAGTGCCATGAACATGATCCCCAACCTCTTCCACAACCTGGCCAGGCAAGCACCAGCATCTCAAGTGACAGAGGAGCAAACCAAGGTGCCAAGAGGTTGAGCAATCAGCCTACAGTCACAGGAGCTCAAGGCTGGGTGTCCAACCACCAGGACATCGGACTTCCCAGGGACACCACCAGAGGGACTGAGCAAATAAAACAAAAGGCAGGGGTTAACAAACACGCACCTGGCTGTTGTTTCTTGCTTCGAAGTCACTGCTTCCTGATCTTTTCTCTTGATTGAGTTTTTGATGACTCTCTTGGAGCAGGTAGCAGACCAGCCACTGGTACGCTACCAGGGGTCCTTCAGAATGAGAAACAGAGAACAGTCACAAGACAGAATCTAACATTTACACTGTACTTAAACTGGGACAGATGGCACCACAGACTGTGTACGTGTCCTGGGAGATCTGCATGAGGGGGTATAAGCCAGGCCAGTTTAAAGATAGGGAAACCCACCACTGACGAATGGATTAAGAAAATGTGGTATCTATACATAATGGAATTTTATGTAGCCATGAAGAACGAAATGTTATCATTCGCTGGTAAATGGATGGAATTGGAGAACATCATTCTGAGTGAGGTTAGCCTGGCCCAAAAGACCAAATATCGTATGTTCTCCCTTATATGTGGACATTAGATCAAGGGCAAACACAACAATGGGACTGGACTTTGAGCACATGATAAAAGTGAGAGCACACAAGGGAGGGGGCAGAGTGGGTGGTAAGGGGGGGTCAGGGGGGAGAAATGGCCCAAGCCTTGTATGCACATATGAATAATAAAAAATAAATAAAAAAAATGAAGATAGGGACACCAAGTCACCAAGAGTAACTGCCCAAGGCCCCTTGACAGGTGATGGCTGGGAAGGGGCAGGCACTGGTAGGCATTTCCAGCTTGGCTTGGAGACTGTCAAGTCCCACACTGTCCCAGTAACAGTGAGGCCATGGGTCACAGAGCTTTCTGGGACAGGCAACTTATCTAGGATGAGCACGTGTTCCTGCCAATGGGCTTTACCAAGGGCCCCAGGCCCCACTGCCCTGCACTCCTTGACCCCACGTGACCCTCTGCCCACAGGAGCCCAGTGACCTTGCTGTCCCCCACACACCTGTCTGAGCAGTGAGCATAGCAATTACTTTATGTGAACGAGAACAAGCCAAGTGAAGAGAAAGACACCCACCTGGCGTCTAAGGGCATTCCTAAGTCCCTGGGTGCCCAGGGCCATCTGTCAGACACCTCTGCACACGCACCTCTCACAAATCAGAGCAGCTGCAGAGCATGTCCCTGTCCCTCCCATCCCCAATGTCACTCTTCCCGAAAGGATCAGGGCCTGGCCTCCAGGAGACTCCAACCTCCCACCAGCCTGGCACAATCCTGGAACAGGGAGGTCTCCCTAGTCCCACAGAGCTGCAAGGTCAGAGGTCACTTAGATCTTTTCCCCAAAGATCCAGATGATGCAAGGGCCGTAAGTCAGCCCCAGATGTGGGGTTTGGAGACCACAAGCCAGAACCTCTGTGTGAGGGGTGGTGTCCACGCTGGAGACCAAAGCGCTTCCCCTAGATGCTTCCCCGGCAGTTTTCCCTCCAGAGTTGGCAAAAGGGGAGGACAGCAGGCAGAGCCGGGCCCATACTCAGGGAGTGGGGAGACACTGGCCAATGTTCTGGTCTTCACAGTGGGTGATGGTTCTGGAGGAGAGCTCTGGTATGCTGACGCCATCACAACTAGGTGTTTTTCTAGTGTTTTTTTGTAGCAACATCGGGGAAGCTCAGACATTGACTTGCAGGTCTGCTGGTGTCCCACTTGCCATCAGTACTTTCAAAAGCCAGGAGGAACATGGAAAGATTGGTCATTGTCAGCAGGGTGACCCAATGGCTTATAGATGGCCACCGAGTGGTGGTGGCAGTTGTGGTGGTGAAGAAGGCAGGCCAGGCTTCACTCCAGCTGGGTCACTGCAATTTCTCCACTGTGGACCTCATGTACACAGCATGGAGACTCACAGGAAGTGCCCAGGGTTGTGTGCTCTTATCCAGGAAATCCTGTGTCCTGTGCTTCTGCCCTCCACGAGGGAGGCTAGTAGCTACTTCACTTGGAGGATCTAGGGGCCTCCAGAACCTTGGGGGACCCTTCCACTCTGGTCTCCTGAACACAAAGTCCCATGAGTACCCTCACCCCCCTCCTCCAAGGCTCCACTGAACGGTGCTCGGTGGGGTACCAGGCACATCAGGCCATTCCTATGCAACTTTAAAGCCACAGCCTGCTGTCTGTGTTAATCTTCTCTGTGGGTGCCAAGCAGTCAGCACCAACATGTACTGACTGATACAAAACCTTTAGGGGGCAGTTCTATCACTGTCCTAGGCTGAAGGAGGAAGCTGAGGCAGGAGGGGTAAGGGACATGCTGAGTCCCACAGCTGTGGGTGGGACCAGGTCAAACCCAGGCAGCCTGGTGAGAGGTGCTGTCCTGCACCCATGGAAGGCGTCACTTTTCCATTCTCTGGGTCTCACGAGAACCCTGGTTTCCACCTGGCCCGTGGCACCTGGGCATCAGGACCCACCTCTGGTGTTTCTCTCATGAAGCCACCCATGAGAGCAAGCTCTGTGGCCTTCAGAGATGGGTGTTCAGCAAGGAATGCTGAATAGGGTGAGGTTGACACTGAGTGAGGTGCGCACTGCAGCTCAAAGCTGTTCTTTTGACATGGGATTTGACAAGAGACAGGGGACCTTATGAGATAGGGTCCTCCCTCCACAACAGTGTGGAGGTGGGCAGAGGTTCTAACCCTCTTCATCCTGTCAACTCAGCTTATCAGGAAGCCTGGCAGTTGGAATGAAGATCCTGACCTTTGCAGCCCACCAGGCTCAATCCCAATCCTGGGCTCCCCTGAGCCTGGGTGGCTGAGCATTTCCTGAGCATCCTAAGGTGAGTGCCAAGAGGCCCAGTCAGGCTGGGGGCTCCATGGAAACATGGTTCACAGCAGCTCCTGCCTCACACCCCAGGAGTCCTGTCCACTCAGCCTCCCCAACGCCAGTCCTGCCCCTCTCCTTCCCCACCTGACCCAGTCATGTTCTGTCTCCTGGATCTGTGTCCACAGAGCAGCCAGAGGCACCTTTGTTCTTCCAGAGGAGTTTTCCAAAATATGAATGAGCCAAACAATTCTGTTCAGCCCCTCTGGCTGTGATAAACCAGCAACTCCAGGGCAGGGGATAACTCACCTCCTGCCAGAGCTCGGGCCTGTGTGCCATGCCTGTGATGCTGCTTCCTTTCCTGAAACACCACCCCTTGGCCTTCACCGATACAGAACTGAAAGATCAATGCCTTGGAGAAGCCATCCCTGGCCAGCCAAGGTCCTGTCAAAGAGCCATCAGCCATGCCCCACAGTGTGGCCTGGGCCACATTGCTGCAGGAGGGCTGCTCCCTGCAACTCAGCCTGAGATGTGTCCATGTGCTCTGTCTCCCATCCAGACTGTAGCATACAAGGAGGAACCTAGTCCAAGTCACCTCTGTATCCCCAAACCTGGAACCTCAGAGTGGGTGCTTATGAAATGTGTATAGAATTAAGCAGTAAACAGGAGCACAAAGCTCTCTGCAGAAAGAGAACATGGACTGAGGTTAGCACACCTTGCCATTAAACAGGCTTTGCTTTCAATGCTATTGCCCATGGGCGGTCACTTGTTCCTCTCACTCTAATGACAGCACAGCTAACTTCACAAGTGCTGGAGAAGGGTCTACTGGGCAAGCCCTATGCTGGCTCCAGAAGGATGGTCACACCAAAGGGGGACAAGTCAGGAGACAAGGGTGTGCTCTGAGGTAGCCTGTGCACAGGAGCCCCAGGAGGAAGGAAGCAAGGAAGTGAGGGGCATGGGGGCAGCCGGGTCAGCAGGAGAAAGAGGGTGGGGGATGGGGGTGGCAACACAGGAAACAACCAGAATCAAAGCAGGTGCATGGGAAGCCCAGAGATGATCCACAGAAAGGACTGCAGCAGGATAGCCACGAGCCTCCCATCATAGTAGTCCATACCCGGGGGTGCATGGCCAAGGTTGCAGCAAGGCAGAGACCAGACCACAGAGGCCTCTCCACACTTGTACCCCAGGGGAGGTTGTGGAGTGAGGAGGCACCCTTCATGCCATGCTAGAGCCCGCACCTTGCTCAGTGTGGAGCTCAGAGGGGCTCCAATACGAGCCGATGAACAGATGGATGAGCAAACAGACGGCAAAGCACCATTCAGGGGTCTCCCACTGCTCTGTTATCTCAGTCACTGCCTCAGTCCCTGGGATAACGTAGAGCCAGGAAAGCCCCATGCCCCCTAACCTAGGGGAGAGTGGACATACCGGAGGAGTCCAACCAGTCAGCCATGCTGGATCCTGTGAACTTCTGGCCCAGGATGGTGGGATAGGCTTCTAGAAAGTCCACCGTCTTCAGAGGGCTTTTGAAGCGAGCTCCGTCTAGGGCACACACACCAGTGACTTTGAAAAAAGACAGGGGCCCCAAACCCAGAGCAAGTCCCACCAGCCCAGTTTGGCTCTGACTAGTCTCCTGCCCACCTTGCCCAGCAGCTGGGGAGCAGCTCAGTCTCTTTCTCAGACATAAGGTGCATCCTAACCCAAGCACAAACTCAACAGAGGCCGTGGAACCCTGTGTCCATAGAGAGCAACCTCCCGCAGGAGGGCCAGCTGCCCACCTTGGAGCCGATGCTCCAGAAGGCCCAGCAGGTAGTTGCTTGTTTGCTGCAGCAGGACATTGTTGTCCCCTTCATACGTGCAGTTCGGATCGTTGTCATTCCTGAGGTCCCCCAATCGGTTCACTGCAAAGAAGCCACATCTGCATCCCTCCAGACGCTCATCCGTGAGACCTGCCCCCCCATCACCCATAATACACAGCCCGCACGCCCAGCCTGAGGGGAGGGCAAGTCACCCCAGCTCTGCTCCTCCCAGGCCCTCCTACTGCTGCACCCTCCGCGCTCCCACCCATTCCCATCGTTAACCTAAGAACAGACAGCAGCCCCCAGGAAGGCCCACAGCTCAGGGCTCTCTGTCATCCCTGCTGGCATCATCTGAAGGGTCCCTTAGCAGAGCCTCCCCCAGGGTGTGGGCTGAGATGAGAGGTGACCCTGGGTGTGGGGGCTGGGCTGCCCTTCTTAACAGAAACTTCCTAGTATCTAAAGACAGTTCTCATTATCCTTGTGTCTCTCCTGTGTTCACACATTCTATAAGGCATGCTCTCCCAGTCTCACACCTCTGTCACCCGAGATGGAAAGTGCTCTCCCCGTGTGAGGCAAGATGGAAGAGACAGTGGGGCACCCCCTTCTCTTGTTCACAAGCTCACTGTGTGAAGGGAGCCGAAGGACGTGACAAGTTCTGTCACTGCCATGCTGCCAGTAGGCTTGTGGTCACCTAGTACTCTGACCATCTATCTTTCCCTGACTTGCCACAAAATCATGTCCCCCACCCTTGACCCTTCCATGTCACAGTTAAGCCACTGGTCAGAGAGAGCTGGGAGGGACCACAGGAGAAAAACGGGCAGTTGCCGTTGTGAAGCTAGACACAGTCTTTACTTTGTCCCTGCTGACTTCAGTCTCATGGGTCCCAGCCCAGAGTCTGTGTAAGTCACGAATGCTGATTCAGTCATTTTTGTTGTCTGCAGTAGGGCAGTATTAGATTTCCTTATTCTACTTTAAACTGTAACAAAGCTGAACTATTTATAGTGCTTCTGTGAGTTACAACAAATAAAAACTACTAAGAACATTACACAGAGGACAAAACATACAACCAAAGAACTTATGTGCAGCCATGGTTACCCACACGTCACTGCAAAACAGAGGCAGTGTGTGGGTTCCTGAGGGACCAGGCTGCCCAAGCAGGGACAGACCCATGCTCGAACAGCCAGGACGACCAACTCAACGGGTGTCATGGAAATGGTCACAGCTACACAAGGGCAGGAAGTGCCTCTGCAGGTCAATACGGATTTTGCGAATCTGCTGTTTGGATCAAGTGTGTGGTCTCTGAGCAGCCTGTTCTTTCTGATCAGTTCTTTAAGATTCTCACACATGAAGTTTGCAGGTAAGCTGTCAATTATGATGGTGGCAATGGCAGTTCTGTCAAGGACAATAGTAGGGTAAAGTTAGAGGGCACAGCAGCAAGCGGATCCTCTAACTCTTCATATGAATCACTTCATCCTTGCCAGGACCTGCGCCATGGGGGTATCTATGATTGCCATTTTCTAACAAGGAAACTGAGGCACAGAGAGGGCAATTGCCCACTTACCATGCTAGTGAGGCAGAGCAAGGCTTTGGCCTCAGCAGCTGCCTGTCTACTCTCAGCCATGGGTACCAACTGCCTATACAACAGCCCAAAAAACTTTTTTTTTCTAAGTTTAAGAATTTTCTATCACAATAAAACTTGGCACTAAGTTTCCTACCAAGTCATTAACCAAAACATCTCAAGTGACATAGCTGACACCTGCTTTCTGCCACACCTTTCTCTAGTCCTCATCATTACCCCAGTTTTGACCCAGAAACATGAGGCTCCAGAAAGAGGCAGGATGTGTCTAGGGTGGGGGTGGCAAACTCGCTCTATAGCGGACCAGATGGAAAACACTCCTGGCTGCGTGAGCCATGTTGTCTCTGTCTCCACTAATCAGTGCTGCCCCTGCAGCATAGAAACAGCCATAGAAAGCCGTAAGTGAATGGGAGTGCGCTGTTCCAATAAAACTTTATTTACGAAAACAGCAGCAGGCAAGACTGGGCCCACAGGCTGTACTTTGCTGACCCTAACTTAGCATCCAATGGTAATGCTAAGGACAGAAAATCATCATATGGTTTTCCAAAACCTACTGGCCAGATAGCCATGTCCACCACACGCCTCCCGGCATTCCTGGATTCCTTGCTGGGCTGTCCATGAGGCCAAGGGCTTGCCGGCTGATGCCAGTGCATGGATCTCGCGTCCGAGCTCTGCCTTTGAGTGAGGACAATCAAAGAGAAGAGGTAAAGAGAGTCCATACTGAAAGTCAGGCCCCAATTTCAGCATGAGCATCAAAAGACTGTGTCCCCTCTGGGCTAATCCAAGACATCTCATAATTACAGAAGAAGGAGACCCAATTTTAATTAAAAGAGGGAGGGAATTCATCCGAGAATGGAAAGGCTTGCTCCACTCAGTTGCTCAGCAATGAAAACGAATGGACCACACCACAGCTCAGTACAGCAAATGAACCACGGGGCATAATGGGATTGCAGAGCACACTGCAGAAGTACATCCACATGTCAGCTCACACAAAGCTCAGACATGGACACAAAGTAAGCGACATACTGATGAGGGCTGAGATCCTTTGCAGTGAGAGCTGTGAAGTGAGGGAGGAGGATAGACACTTGCTGGAGCCAGTGCTGCCCTCCAAAGAGAAGGGAGGCTGTGACCAGTGAGTTCACAGAGGGCAGGGATGGTCAGTGACAGTCTGGTGGCATAGGTGTTCATCAGGTCATCCTCCCTGTGCCCATAGGCTTCTACTTGATATCCAACACAATTAAAGGGTATGCAACCTGTAATAAAACTTTGAGTAGGGGCTACTGTCAGGTCCTCTGGTGCCTGGAAGAATAAATGCAATGCTTTGTGCCACTGTTAGCAAAGTCAATGTCAGCTGGGCCTCACACTAGGGGAACCCATTCAACCCCACACTCCACCTCTGGTTGGCTCCACAGTGAGTGCTGCTGGCCGGTTACACAGCCCGCCTCTCACCACTGGGCGCCTATGCTGAGCAGATCTCTGCATGTCCTTCTGACAGGCTTCTTAGGATGCTGTGCATAACCCAATCGCAGCACTGCTAATCTCTTTCCAAACATGTTTCTTTTGGCTCACATTTTATTCCACTCAGGAGGCAGTATGAAAGGGCAAGGGAGACAAATTCACAAACCGTCTACAAAGAAATTAGCAACAGACTTCTCTTTACACAGCAGCTGACCTCAGTGGATCTGCATGCTCATCCAGGCATGAATCCCAGGCTGTTGACCCAGATCCAGTGGGTTGGATCCAGACCTTTGTCCAGTTGTTTACAAAAGGTCCAGAAGCGTGAAATCCTCTGAGGGGCTGGTAATGCGGATTGTGCAAAATCATCGTGTTCTCAACAGAACAACAGCTGAACTCACAGACGGGAATTCAGGTGGTGTCAGCACATCCCAGAGAAACAGGGATATGGATTCAGCCCAAATGGCTCAACTTGAGTCACTGCACAAGTCAAGCCCTAAGTGGGTGGGGCAGCCTAAGAATGCAGGGAAGGTTCTGTCCCCGCAAACCCACGACTGCCTTTGAAATAATGCTGAATTTGGGGTGCTTGACCTCAGCAAAATCTAACCACAGTGCTACCAAGGACAGTGCAGACACCTCTGCATCAGGGCACTGTAGTCTCCCTGGGCAAGCCTTGGTGCATGCCTCCATGCCACCCTGCCAGCTCCAGAAGACCCTCACCTGTGCAGTGCCGCCATCTCCCCTCCGCAGGTCTTGCTGTAACCTTGACAGGTCAATGAAGAGTGATTTGGACAAGTGGTCCAAGGCGTAGGCAGCTGCCAGATAAGGAAGTAAGCGCCATTGCTAAAGGAAATAAGACACATCACAGATCTGCAGGGGCCAGTCCACCTGTCCACCTCTCCCAGCTGCCCATCCCAGTGACTGTGGGAAACCAGCCAGCTGGGGCCAACTCTGAGCCTGGCACATGGACTTGGTTCAGCTGGTACTTCCTGAGCCCATTAAAGTGAAGCAGTGAGGAAACAGGCTCGCACAGGCTACAAGTTCCTCAGAGGGCAGGGAGTACAACTCTTTCACCTGTGTACATCCAGTGCCAACATGGGTCAGGGCACATCCCTGCTGGACAGATAGATGGGCAAATGTATAAGAGAGAGAGGGGGGTGAAGCCTGAAAGGAACCCAGCAAACCGGCACCATCACTGTCCCACATGTGCTGAGTGCCAGGCGCCCTGCCAATTGCTTTTGTGTGTAAATTGTCCAAGCCCTACCTGCCTCCCCGGAAGTGGTGCCACCATAAGTCCCAGATGACAGATGAGAACACTGGGGCACAGAGGGAAGGCACCTTGCTGAGGGCATATGGCCAACTGGAGTGGCCCTAGGGTGGGGCTCCCTTAACTGCTGGGCTGCCCCAGTCTGGAGCAGCCTGAAGAACTGTGGCCATGGAGACCACAGGATAGGTATAGGAGGGGTGCGTGGGCCGCCCAGGCTCACGCCAAGACACATTTCTCCTCACTTACTCCTTCTCAGACCAGGTTCATGGCCACGGCAAAAGGAAAGTTTAAAAACAAAATGGCAATGTGTCCCTATTCCCTCAAACTTTCATGAAATCATGCCTGTTTGTGCAGAGTTCAAGCCCTGGGCCAGACTTGATAACTAAGCTGTGGTTGGAGGCTCCACTCTCATCCTGAGACCCCTGTAAGGTGGGAGTCCTCCTGCCACAGAGAGCGCATGCCCAGGACAAGCTGGAGAGCATGACAGGAGGCCCCACTCTGTGCATGACTCCATGCTTTTCGGGGTGCTGCCTGGCCGCTCACCTCTAATGACGTGAGGCTGAGCATCCTTTCTGCTGTTCTAACACCACCACAGTGAGCAGGGCTGCAAGCTCACCTGCTGCTTCCAAAATTATCTCAATGGTACCATTTCTTAAGGAGAGAGGAATGAGGAATGAGTTGAAGATTGTGGCCTGGACGTGTGACACCATACACAACTGCCACTGGCCTCACCTGACTCAATCCTCCCGTGCTCCTCATTTATGCCACTTTGTGCATACATTTTAATTTTATCTCATCTTATTTTGAGACAGGGTCTTGCTAGGTGACCCAGGCTGTCCTCAAACTGGTTATCCTCCTGCCTCAGCCTCCCAAGTACTGGGATTATAGGTAGACACCACCACACCTGGCTTATATACTCCTTTCTAATTAAAAACCATCCCCAGAAGCCTTGCTACCTGACAGGCACACTCCTGCCCTCTGTCCTGATTGCTGTCTAGAGCTCTCAGCCATTTGAAAGAAGGATATTCGCAAGTGGCCTAGAGAGAAAAAGGTGAGCTGGGAGAGCCCGCACCTGCAGTTGATACTCAAGGACAGGAATCTCCTCCTCCTCTGTTGGCCCAAACTGACATCGAGTGGCCGAGAAGCGTAATGCTATGGACACGGCCAGCTTCAGGTTGACCACCGACATGCCGATGATGGCGATGCGTCCCCAGGACAGAGTGCCCAGGGATGCACCGAAGCGCTGCCTGACGTCCTAGGAAGAAAAGCAGGCGTCACACATGGGCCAGAGCCATGCAGCTGTCCCTCTGCTACTCTCAGTGAACAGGGACATGGTGAGTGCTGCATGCCACAGAACGCTGCTTGTCACCCTCCTGAGGACAGCTCAGCAGGAGACCCTGAGACCCTCCCCTTTGAATGCTCAGGGTGACAACACCCTGAGGGACATTGCTAACAGGGGCAATTAGGTAGAGTCAGCCATCATCTGCTGCCAGGCTTGGGTCACCTTGCCCACACCAGTGCTGCTGCTGTGGGAAGTTCCCTCCCTGGCAAGGATACCAGAACCCAATCCAAGAGATGTGTGCCCAGGGCTGGCGTCCCCCTCACAGGTGCTTCAGGACAGGTCTGCAGGGACAGATGCCTGGAAAGCTCTGAACACAAATGCCCATAGAATTGTCTGTACCTTAAAGGGGGTGACATAGGTGCCCTCAGGGTGACATCCCCAGTCCGGTTCAGGAGGTTCTGGCGAGGAATTCTAACCTTGTGGAACATGGCGAATCTGTGTGGAGGGTAAAAGGGCTTCAGTTCCATGGGGTTTCACTGGGCTTCCCTCCTCTCCCCAAGGGCAGAATAAAGGTGACTGATGTGACCCCAAAGACAAAGAACGCATGTGCTGGGGCCCACAGGACGATCACTGAAGCCTGGTCGCACACCCCAATGGGACAAAGGGGGTGTCCCTGCAGGGCACTGGGAGGAGAGGCCCTGGTGGGGCTGAGTTTTTGCCACGCACACACTGAACACCCATGCGATCACCACCCAGGCACAGCAAAGGACCCAAGCTGGCTCCAAAGACTGGCACTTGATTCCAAACTTTGACCTCAAACCAGACCCAGAGTACAATGAGATAATCAGCAAATGGGAGTTTTAAACACTACATCAAACAAAGGAACCTGCACCACAGTCTCACTGCTCCAAAGGCAGTGTCTTCTGAGTGGCAGAAAACAGGACTCTGCAGACCTCAGTGTGGACGTTACACAGAAATAATGGAAAGTATTTTTATGGTTGCCAGGTCAGGAAAACCTACTTTGCAATAGTTTAGGGAACAAGATTAAACACAGTTATGGAGCTTATATACACTATGCAAAAAACCCTTGAAAATATCTACATGTATTTGATAGCTGAGATGGTATGAGATGTAGGAGAGAGCATCTTTTACCAAACCACAGGGGCCTCATTGGTAACCAACAGCTGTCCACGCTGGAGACAGGGACACCTGCTGGACAGGGAAGGTGCACCCCTGCCACACCACTCCCTTTAATTCTGGCTTGGGAATGGCCCCACCCCACCAGAACCACCTTCATCAGATAGCAGAGACCCTTTGGAAAGGTCATGCCCCATGTGAGACTGTGGGTCTGCACCCCTTAAAAGAATGGGTTGACCCTCCCACTCCAACCTCAGCCTTCTTACCAATATCACTCTCACAGCCAGAGGCTCCTGCTCACAAGACCTAAACTCAGCCTGGCTTTCTGCTGACTGTGGGCCTCCCTGTATCTTCCCTTCCTCCCCACCAGTTGGACTGCCATCTTTCCCATAGCCCTTCACTACTCTCTACCCCACCCTGGGACCCTCTCCAGGACACCACAAGGGTGGAGTCCTGCTCAACTGTCCACATTCCCCAGGAGCCAGCCTGGGTCTTATCACCTTTTCATAACAGGGTTGCAGCACCTGGCATTGCCAGGTGCTAAGAGACATAAATGAATGCAGTGCATGGGACGTGATCCTCTGGGGCACTGGTCCTGTCCACCAAGGCCCAACTCCTGGGAAACCACACAGACCCCTACTAGTACCCCAAGGAAAAGTAGGGCTCAGGTAGGCAGAGTCTGGGGCAGGAGGCCTCCTCCCGAGTTCCCCAGGATGGCCTGGGGGTCAGTAAGCGAGGAACTTCAGGCCAGGCATCCAGGACAGAGCCATTGCCTACCATGTGTACAAGGCACAGGGCCACAGGCCCGCTGCTCCACAGTCCCCAACAGGGCACACGGGGAGCCCAGCGGGCTAGCAGAGGCTGCTCCTGCTCAGGCAGGTGGCCACTCCACCATGCCCAGTGTGCAGGGCCCATAATGCCTCACTTTTTAAGCAAACCTGGCCTCGCTGCCAAGTCCTGAGGTGCCCCAACTTGTTACTTGAAAGCCAAGGAATGCTTTTCAATGTGGCTTTGTAAACAGAAAGCTTTTTAAGGAGTGGAAACTCTTCACCCTCCCTTGGCTTGCATACTGAACAAGTCTGAATGTGTTTTTGCCTGGGAAGTGTCCACTTGGGTTTCACTGAAAGCAAGATCTCACTGGTTCTCTGACCCCTCTGCACCCCAAAGCTGCCCCAGAAACACTCAGATGGGGCCAACAGGTGGGCCAACCTGCCTACCAAGGTTAAGGTCTCCAGATGGAAGGGGATGTGTGTATGGCACAGGGTGCGTGTGTGTATGTGAGACATAATGTGTGTGTGTGTGGCAGGAGTGGGAGGCACAGAGCATGTGTGTGGCACAGAAGGGTACATGTGCATGTGTGTGCCCGTGTGCATACATGGCATGGGGCATGTCTATGGTACACCTTCTACCTGGGCCTCCTGCTACAAGTTCCAGCAACTTCCTGACCCTAGGGGCTTCTCTCTGCCACCACCAGCCCAGCTCCCCTGGAGGAGACCCTCAAGCCTGGAGCTCTCCTCAGCCACTTCAATAGGAATCCCTGAGGCCAAAGGCCCAGCCTCATCATGAAAAAGCACCTGCAGCCTCCTCAAGTAATGGCAGAAACGTCACTTGAAAAGACTCCTGTTATTTTGCTTTTAAACTCATCTAAAACTGATCCACGGACTTGCATAGCCTGTGATTTCTAGGAGCCTTGCCCCTATGTCTGGATTCTCGTGAAGTAACAGAAGTTAATCTAAAAACTGCTGCTGCTTTGTCTCACAATAAATGCTCTTGACATTGGCTTACAAAGCAATGCTAACTCATAATACTGCCACTTGAAAAGGGTGAATGCAGGAATGACCCAAGCAGAGACACCACTAAACTTGGGAGTCCTGGCGCCCTCTCCTGGAGAGCCTGAAGATAGGCAGGCAGTTCAGGAAGGAGAATGGAGGGCCATGCCCAGTCAGTCACTCAGCTTCTTCCAAGATCCCTGTCACCTCCTGCTGCTGAGCATACAGGGAAGCTTCACGACAGGCACCGTGGGCTAGCGTCTCTACTGGGCGCAAGAGCTTCTCAGGTTGCTATCACAGCTGTGTCCATACCCATGGTGAGTCTCCCAGCAAAGCATTCCTGAGCTTCTGAGCCTCATCACGGTGCATCTGCAGTGTGGGCTGACTTAACCGTTCGGGTTGTTAAAGATTCTGACTCATAAAACCGAATGTGCAGTGAACAGAGATCCTGATGTTGCCCTGACACGACGACTCAGCGCCAGCACGAGTGTGAGGACACCTGCCAGGCCACACACACAAAGCCCTCACCGAGGGAACAACACACCCATGATCTCCAAGCCCACACTTTCTTCACAAGCTGATGCTACCACCAGGTGGCTCCCACCACAGGGCCACAGGGCCCAAGCTGAGACTTGAGCCCAACCCCAGCCCAACTCCATCTTTTGGAGGGACAGATCCCATTTCTCCAGGATAGGACCCTGTAAACCACCTGGTCCAGTTTCTCTCTGGAGGTGGCCTGCCTCCTTGAGGCAGTCATTGGAGGCAACTGTCTGTGCTCTGAAAGGCTTACTGTAAAGCAGCCAATGGACAGACACTACTGAGACACAACGCACGATGGAGGCTTAGAGACGCTCTGCTTTGGCTCCTTCCCTAGTCACAGAGGATCTTGTGGGCACAGAGGACCTAAGCCCCACAGGCTTTCCAGGAGACAGTATCCAGTCTGTGGGTATAGAGGAGGGAGGCACCAATACACAGCAACAGCCAGGAAGACCAGCTGGCTGTACCAGGGGACCACACCCCCCCAACACACACATGGATATCTCCCTGGATGGGTGCCAAGGACAGTTGGGCAGACAGTGACCTAATACAACTTACCTTTCTTGGTTGCTCAGCAATAATATCCCTTAGTGACCTTCCTGGTACTTTTCCACTAGCCCCCTATATCTAGCCCAAGCCTGTGTTTGGCAATGGGCTCTAGCTCTCTTGCTGGGGTCCCCCTCCACAGGGTTCCTGCCTAAACAATAAACTCTGTGCTGGTGTTTGAGCCATCTCTCTGCCTCTTCCATACTTCTTATTTTCTAACAGTTTATGTAAACTTTTCTAGATGACCTCCTGATTAAACAACTCTTGGGTGATTCTAATGCAGCTGGTACCCTGTATGTGTCTGTGACTGGGCTATTTGAGTTTTACTAAAACTGTTCTTCCCCCCCTACAACTGATAAAAATCTAAGGTTTTACTTCAAGAATAGCTAAACTAATATGTATATATAACCTCTACAGAGCTGTGATGCTGTTGCTGGTTCCTTATACTAAATATTTATGTTTTTCAAGTATACCAAGCCTTCTAAAATACAAAATTTAGATAAACATGGTAACAAAAATTAATGGTACTGATATACTGTTCTGTTAACTGCTAAACTGTCCATCAAAATTTTAACCATGACTCTTTAAGTTTTTCTCACTACAGTTCTGATCCTTCTGGGGCATTTACAATCAAGTCCATAAAAAAATGACTCTACTGAGTACTTATTTATCACCCAGGTTAGCTTTTTTAGACATCTGCTTTTGTTAGATTTTGTTTTGTCCTTGTCTTTTTAAAAGCCAGTGCCTAAGAGCCACTCCTTCCAAGCCTCTTTGTTGCTTAAATTTGGCCAAAAGGGTCTAGTTGGCATGACTCCCACCTGATCTGCTCGTTATTCCCTCCTGACATGGGACCAAGACCAACCAAACAAAACCCAGGAAAGAATGACCAATCAAAAAGGATCTTCAGTCTATGGCCATACCACCCTAAACGTGCCCAATCTCGTCTGGTCTTGGAAGCTAAGCAGGGTCGGGCCTGGTTAGTACCTGGATGGGACACAGATTTTCAGAAGAGACTGCTCAGAGACAAGCAGTATGGAGACAAGAGGGGAATGCCATCAAAGTTCAAATGGAGTCACTGGTGCCAGACCTCTCAAAAATAACCAAAGCCGAGAGTATTAAAGAAATAGTTCTTATGCATGTGTGGCTATTTGAAATTAAAGCCCTTCCAGACACAAACTCATATTTTTAGACAGGATCTTTTACTTAAATAGAGACAAAATGACTATTTTTACTGGCTCTACACTTGTCCTTTGATACTTAAAGATGGTGGTTTTAACTTTTTTAAAACAATGCATTTTCTTGGACATATATACTGGTAATATATTGTTGCCATGGTGATTCTACTCAGTTAAAAAAAAAAAAAGACACTGTCAAGATAAAATATATATATATAAAAACGTCCACCCATTAAAACCCCATTGGAGGGCTAGTGAAGTGGCTCACATGGTAAAGTGCCTGCCTAGCAAGCATGAGGTCCTGTGCTGCATGAGTTCAAACCCTTGTGCTGCCAAAAAAAAAAAAAAAAAAAAGAAAACCCCATTGGAGATGCCCTTTTGTTGTTATTTTGTCACTCTTACTGCAATTAAAGTAGCAGATTGCTCCTTGGATCCACCACAGACAAGTCAAACCAGCTTCTCTTGATGGGAGTGCATCCCTGATCAGCTTCACCGTGCAGGATCACCCTCTGAGACCTGAGCACCCTCCCCTGACAGGACTCCACTTTCCAAGAAACAACAGGGGACCAAGAACGGCGGGACAACAGCTCTGCTCTAGTCACACCTTGGAAGCTGACTAGTCTACGCATGACAGAAGCTTGAGGAGTCGACTCTCCAACGGGACAAACAGACTGTTTTTGCACCAGCTGTCTCACTGTAATGCATTATCACCCCTTGTCTGTATCTGCTGCTGTAGCTCTCACCCTAGTGTTCGCCATAGGCTTGGCAGAAACCACCCCGCTGATTGGACTCATGGTGAAAGGTTTTTATTAGCTCTCTTCTCTTTTGGGCAGGATGCATAATTACTGTTTGTTGCTGATATGGTCTCCCTTCATGGTCCCAGAGCCCTCTCCTGTGACCTATGTATGCATACTACTCAGGCAGGAAGTGTTGTCACTAGGACTTTGCTTTTCCATACTTACTATTCCTGTGCAGGCTCTGTCATCGGGTCATGCACTCACAGCCATACCATCTATTCAGTGTGTTCCCATGGTAATCAGGATATCTGCTTCAACCCCACTTACTGTCCCCGGGAACAATGGTTAGAGACCAGAAGCGTCCGCCACCCTGGGAACCTTGTCAGCCACACCCAGACGTTTAGTCCTGATAAACCAGTGTCAATGCTCTTTGGTCCATATGCAGCCATAGACAAGGGTAGAGAGAGGTATAGGCTATAGCAGTGGGGGCCTAGCTTGGGAAAGAGCCTATATGTCAAATGATAAGTATATGTGCTGGGGAGACAACTCTTGGCCATGGGATGATGTGGGTTCTTATTATTGGCCTTACTGGAGTTGTGTTTCATGGGCCACATGGCAGAGGGCTAAGCGGGCAGCCCTTCTTCACAAGAGAAAAGCTGTCCTTGACTGCACCCAAGGCACCTGTAACCCTGTAAATTTCACTGTACTTAAGCCATCTGATTGGACACAGGGTGCCTTACAAACTGGCAATTAAAAAAGATAACAAATGGCTTCCTAAATGAATTAACCAATACTATGGCCCTGCCACCTGGGCAGAAGATGGAACCTGGGGCTGTCGCACCCCTATATATTTGCTCAACTGCATCATCAGGCTGCAGGCTGTTGTTGAAATTATAACTAATAAAACTGCAAGAGCTCTCAATTTGTTGGCAAAACAAAACACAAAAATGTGCAATGCCAGCTAGCAGAACCACTGGGGTTTAGACTATTTACTGGCTGCTGAGGGAGGAGTTTGTGGAAAATTTAACCTGCACAACTGCTGCTTACAGATAGCTGATGGAGGAAAGGTCACAGAAGGGATTACAGACAGAATGAGAAAGCTCACCCATGTCCCCGTCCAGACTTAGAGAAGATGGGATCCCAGTGACCTGTTTGGAGTATGATTCTCTGCCTTATGTGGATTCAAAACGCTGATAGGGGCAATGGGCCTAATTCTAGGAACATGCTTAATATTGCCCTGTCTGGCTCCCCCGGTGCTACAGGCTATCAGGACTATTATGGAGGCCATTATAGAAAGGAAAAGGGCTGTGCATGTATGATGCTATGGAAATACAAACCCCTAGATCAAGGTGATGCTCTTTGACCCTGAGTGGGTCTGAGCATCAAAGGGAGGAATGATGTAGCAGGAAGTGGGGGGTGGCAGAAAAGAAACAGACAAGCTGGTGTTCTGACAATGAGATCGGGGAGGGGATGGCAAAGCAGACAGGAAAAACTTAGAAGAATTGAAACATGAAGGTCACATGGCACTGGGGAAATGAAATAGCCAATGGAGTTACATGCAGCCATATACGGGTTGAGCTTTGCTTTTTGCTTCTGTAACCTGCTTGCAAGGGTCTATAAGGTGAGACCCCTTTGTTCTCCGGGCTCAGCCTTTGGACATGAGTCTGCTGGGTCTGTGCTGGCACAGTAAGTGTTGCTTCCTGCTAATCTGCCTCAGAGACTTGAATCTTAGCTCATAATTTCCCACAACACTGTGAGATAACTGGACAGGACAGGGACGCAATTGTAGCCTTGTATCCTAGAGTTCCACGTGGATGGTGCTGAGGCTGAGGGCTGGGGGAACCTCTCAGAGGAGAAACAGGCTCCTTGCCCATCCCAGTTCCCACTCCTCCCCCCAGGTGGCAGGCAGTGGCCTGGGCCTGACCTGAGATCAGCACCACCTGCAGGGGAGTTGGTCTACAGAGTGCTCACAGGGAGGTGTACCTCCTAAAGTTAGGGGTTGAGGCCGCTGCTCACACAGAGGCAAGATGGGGTGCCCTCCATGTCTGAGCCTCCCCCTAAAAGCCTAAAGGGTTAGCCCAGCACTGATGGCCTGGTGAGTGACAGACAGGAAGCCCAGCCTAGGATTCATGGAGAGTTTCAGTTCTGGTCTCAAAAGCCCTGGAGAGGCAGCATGTGACTGTCCAGTCAGTCCAGAGCAACACTCACCCATTGTCCAGTCCGTTCTGCCCAAGCTTCTTCCCTATGTCACCGACCATCACCCCTGGCATAGGAAGCAGGGTCTTTGGATCCCGAATCTGTCCAAAGCCACAGACCACAACAAACAGTCACAGTTAGCACCACCAGATCATCAAAGTGAACATCTCCAAAATGTACCACACTGAGCCAAGGGTTCAATCTGAGTAGCTGAGGGCCACACTGTGTCCTCCAGGACAGGTCTACGTCCTAACCTAGGATCTGGGGACAGGTCCTTCCATGGAAGTAGGGGTTTTGCAGATGAAATGCAGTAGGGACCTCAACATGAGGTCAGCCTGGATTCCCAGGAGGCCCTAACTCCAATGATGAGGGTCCTTACAAGATACACACACCCAGGGGGCCACGTGGAGATGAAGCTGGGACTGGACAGATACAGCCACAAGCCAAGAAGCCTCCAGGAACTGTAAAGGGCAAGAAGGAGCCTCCCCAGAGCTTCTGGAGGGGCGCTGCCTGCCCAGGCCTTCACTTCTGATTGCCAGCCTCCAGAGCAGAGATGGTAACTTTCTGTGTGTTAAGCCCCGGACAGGGGTGCAGAGCAGCCACAGGGAAGGGTCCAGGAGCTGAGCAGGGTCCAGGGTTTCTTGTTCATGTCTTAGACACATGACCTTCTGCAGATTCTAGCAAAATCACAAAATGGCTGCACATACATGCTGTGGGAGAGACAGTCATATGGTTTTGATAAATCTCTACTTCCCCAGATGAGTGTCCAATAAAGACACTGAGCTCAAGGAATATGGGCCTAGCTGGCTGCCAGTTCCTCACCATGTGGGCTTCACAGAGGGGACAGGTTTCATTCTAAGGCACCTTTAAAGAAGGGACTCCCAGCCAGCTGAGGACGGGGCAATGCTGGAGACATTTTGCTATCCTAGCTAAGGGGTACTGCCAGCAGCTAGTGGTGCCACCAAGGCTGCTGCTCTATGTCCTGGGGAGCACAGGATGCCCCTGACCCGAGCAAGTGTCAGCCCCCAAATGTCAGGGGAGCCAAGGCAGAGATCCAGTGAAGGTTGGGTTATAGCTCAGTGGCAGAGGGTGTGGTTAGCATGAGGGAGGCTCTGGGTTTAATCACCAGTAAAGAAAGGAAGGGAGGAAGACTGAATCTAAACTACTTGGAATTTAGCTATTTGTATGAATCACTACCTTTTTTTTATTTTGGGGAACAATCATGTAACTTAACTGAACTTTAACATGAAGACAATGAAAAATTATAAAAGGGATAAAACTCAAGCATAAGGTATCTTTTCCTTTTGAAATAAATACCATAAAAAAAAGTTACAAAGGAGTAGGGATGAAGAAGAGGTATTATGAGTTGGATCTTAAATGTCCCCAAAGGTCATGTATTGAAGTCTTGGGCTCAAGTCTACGGTGTTACTGAGAGGCGGAAGAACCTCCAGAAGGTGGGCCCAGGGGGCAGATGTTCAGTCACAGGGGTCATGACCTTGAAGGAGCTATTGGGACCTCAACCCCTTCTCTCACTGTAGTCTCATCGGCCACGTGTTCCCACTCCAATGGACTCTGCTGCCACAGGCCGATAGCAATGGGGCCAAGCAACTATGTGTTGAAACCATGAGCCAGAATAAACCTTTCTTCCTTTTAAGTTGATTAACTCAAGTATTTTGTCACAGCAACAGAGACCTGACTAACACAGGAGGAGACACGCACATTACAGAAATAGTTGGCACTTTTCAAGCAACCAAACAGAAAAATTCTGCTAATGCAGGTTTTCAGCTCATCAAGAAACAAAGGACAACGTGAGGATTCTAAACATCATTGTAGCTCTTGACTCAAGGAAAAAATTCTAAAGTCAAACAGAAGCAGTTAATGCCGTACTTATCTCAAAAATACTTAACTGGGCCAATTTGCAACTCACAAACTCACACCTGCAAAGACACTTCAGCAATCACCGGCCCTGTGGGATACAATAATGTACAAAATGTTGCTGCCCCTCCACCCTGTCTACCAAGGATCAGAATGAATCCCTCTCTCCTACAGTCTGTCAGCTCTGGGGAGCAGGACACGCAGTGCCTTGCCCACATGGTGGATAAGCAGTGCAGCTCTGTGGTCTAACAGTCAGACCCTTGGAAGGACGCTGAGCTCTAGTGTAGGTGACTTCCACACAAAGCCCCTGCAGGTGCAAGTCTGTGCCCATGGAAAGGTAACTGTCTACCCCAGCTGCCCAGTCGGGTCCTACCTGCACCAAGAATGCATGCAGCCCATGGCACTGGCCCCCTGGCATGTGCAGCTGGGCAAACACCACTGCATGAGTCGCTGTCTTGCCCATGTTGCCAACCCAAAATTTGGCAGCTTCAAAGTCCGGGGAGTGTATGATGAATTCCTACACAAAAAGAAAGAAGGCGTCACAGTCAGTTAGCAACAGAAACTCCTGTAGGATGGTTTCCCTCTTCAACAGCTTTCATTTCCTAAATTCAATGTCTTGAGGCAAGAGGCAACATGCATTGTACATTTCCTGTACTGCACAAGTTGACCGTGTTTTTGAAACAGCATATTCCCAGGTGGTGTGATTTATAGAAGGAATGGAAAATGACTAGTATGTCAAACAATAAAATGTTTGCTGGCAAATGCCTCTAGTAGGTATTTATTGTTGCATAGTGTCCTGGAGAGGCCAACCTGGCCACATTCTTTAAGCAGAAGGCCAGTCCTGTTTTACTTCCTGCCACATCCCCTCCCGACTTCTAATGGATAACCTGCTTTCCTTCCATTCTCCCTCTGGTCTATAAGCTCATGAGTGAGGGTTATCCTCAATGCCAGGGCACAACGTGGACTCGCAGAATATTGGGATGAGTGAATGAGGCACTGTGGCAGCCACCTGGTCAGCACTGTCTGGAGAGGTGTGGGCAAATCCCCACCCTGAGAAACACAGCAGGGCGTGGACTCAGGAGACCTCAGGCCAGCAAGAGGAAAGTGGTCGGGAGTCAGAGCAGCTGGGCCCACCCTGGGGCGATCACCAGGAGGGATGGGAGCAGAGCATGAGGACATTCAAAGTGGGCCCACTTGATGGGGGTTCATGGACTAGAACAAAATGAGCGCTTGCCCTGGGCTGCGGGGCGACAGCTGACCATGATCATGATAATGATCATGATCTCCATGCTCAGCTGGCCACTGGCAGGGGCTTTCCTGGGTAAGTTCCAGCCCTGCCCTCTGCAGGGTGGGAAGCTGCAAACCCACAGGCCCGGGAGAACCCCTTCCCTAGCCCAGCACCATGAGATTTAGAGACCACAAGAGCACTGGACAACTATCTTGGAGACAATGAAGTTTCACTGAAGAAAGCGGGGCTGTGGTTGTGCCTTTTGTCCCCTAAGGGACCAGCAGCTCCAGGCCTGCAAGAGGTTGGCCCATCCTAGCCTCAGCCAGGCAGCCCTGTGCTCTGCCTGTGGGCTCCCTGGGTCTTCAAGCTGCCCTGCTGCCCACTCAGATCTTCATGCAGCTGCCTCCTGCTGCCCACTCAGATATCCACCTGTGGCCCCACAGCTGCCCCTCATACCCTGTCGCCCTCACAGCCCTCAGCAGCCCCCTTCCCCCAATGGTACCTGGGGCCCCTTTAGCACACAGCTTATGTGACAGCAGACAGGGCTGCTGGGCTTCTCTAAACACATAGTGGTGCTCATCAAATCTTTACCATCCAGGTGATCACTCACCACAAGCCCAATGCAGACTTCTGAGATCATACTGCTACCTCCACATAAGGCTAGAGGCTGAGGGAGGCCAGCAGGAGTAGAACTGCTCCTCAGATCTAGACTTGGCCCTGGCCCTACTGCCTGCTGTGGAGGGACCAACCTCTGCCTGCCAATCAGAACAGGCTTCCCCAACAAGCACTGCAGAGACACAGGCACCAGAGCACAGCAGAAGAGAAGGACCATGGAGCTAGAGAGTCCTGGGCGCTCATGAAGACATTCTGAGACCCAAGGAGCAAGCAAGAGGAGGCAGTGGTACATGCCTGTAATGCCAGCACTCAGGAGGATCAGAGTTCCCAGCCAGCCTACACTACATAGAAAGGCCCTGTCTTAAAAATAAAAACAAAAGCTGAGCGCCAGAGGCTCATGCCTGTAATCCTAGCTACTCAGGAGGCAGAGATCAGAAGGAATGGTTCAAAACCAGCCCAGATAAATAGTTTGCAAGACTGTATCTCGAAACCACCCTTCACAAAAAAGGGCTAGCAGAGTGGCTAAAGTGGTAGAGCACCTACCTAGCAAGCGTGAGGCCCTCAGTTCAAACCCTGGTATCGCCAAAAAAGTAAAATAAATAGAATAAAATAAAATAAAAAATAAAAGTAAAAAAGAAGTAAGCAAGAACCCATGAAGAAGGCCTGTGCATGGCAGCTTCCTCTAATTTGTGGAGGCCCCTTGGCTCGTCCACGGCCCCTGACAGCCTACATCACCACGCACCACAGTAGTCAGACTCCTTGTTCCGACTCTTTTGGGGCTGCGCACAGTGTGTCTGTCTTTGTGTTCCCACCGCATGCAGCCTGGGCCAGAGTCCACACACAAGCATGTTGCTGAATGAGCAAAAGAGCAAACACACAAGTGAACGATGAGCAAACACCAGCACGGAGCTCCCTCTCTTCATGGAGAACTCTCATGCTGCCACCACCAGCACAGAGGTCAGGAGGCTCACAGCATGCCAGGTAAGTTAGGAAAGGGCAAGGGAGGGCATGGTCCTCAGAAGAATGAAGACGAAGGCGATGATGGGGCAGAGCCCGGGGAGTGGAGGGAGGAGGCCTGACTCCTCTCACAGCAATGACCACCCAAGATGTTGTGAGCCCAGCTGTCTAGGGTCCATCTCCCTCCTGCACCATAGGCTCCTGAGGGACAAGGTTATGGTCGTAGCCACGGTGCCTTTCTGTAGATGGCAGCACCCGCATAGAGTAGGGCTCAGTGGATGCACTGACAGATGTCAGATGGAGGTCAGGAAGATAGCAAGGAGCCAAGTTGTGGTGGGCAGAGCAGAGAAAGCAGGCTGCTCTCTGACAAAAGAGCCTGAGCAGCTGGGTGCTGATGGCCCACACCTGTAACTCTAACTACTCAGGAGACAGAGATTGGGAGGATTCTGGCTCCAGGCCAGCCCAGGCATATAGTTCAAGAGATCTCATCTCAATCAATAAAAGGCTGGATGGAGTGCCACACACCTATCATCCCAGATATTCATTCAGAAATGTAAATAAGAGGGCTGCAGTCCAGGCCATCCTGGGCATAAAGTGAGAGCCCATCTCAAAAATAGCCAAACCAAAAAGGGATGGAGGTGTGCATCAAGTGGTAGAGTGCCCGCCTGGTAAGTCCAAGACCCTGAGTTCAAACTCAGTATTGCCAAAAAAAATAAAATAACAAGAGCCTGGGAACAGGCAAGGTAGGGATGAGGAGCTGAGGTCACAGACAACACTGCCTCACACGCACACCCTATGACGCAGGAGTAATCTGAACTGCTTCTACATCCAACACATGTCACCATGGCAACAAAGCCAGAAATTCTATAAAACATCAGCTTCCTCACTAAATTCCATGTTCACATGAACTAACCATGATCAACTATCAGGAAGGCTGCAGAAGGCATGGAGCAGACTGCCACAGAGCAGGCTTCCTGGCTAAGTATTACTGCCTCTTTGACCCAGGAAGACGTCACCTACCTCAGTAGCAGGGTCATAGTGAGCCGTCGTCCGAATGGCCTTCGTGTTACTCCCATGACTCACTTCAGTCAGAGCAAAGCAGCCAAAAATCTAAATGTTGATGCAAAAGGGACATTATGGTAAAAGGAGTTCCTTTGCACGTTCCTGCCAGGGTCCCCCCACTGTCTGTCCTTGTAGAACTAAGTCACAGGTCCATGCCCTCACCTCCATTCTCCTGCCTAGCTAGCCGCTGACTTGACCAAGTCACCCTGTCAGGCTGGATGTCACCTCCCGTGAGGCAGTAGGTGAACTGGGCCAAAGCAGCCAGAACTGCTGCAGTAAGAGAGGCAATGCAGGCTTCGGCTCAGACAGAAATGCTACATTCATGCAGGCCAGGGCCCAGTGCACCCGAGTAAGCCAAAAATGCCCCTAGATAAGCAGGGGCCTTCCCTGCAGTCCCCTTTCCACCTTCCCCAACAACCTGGCTCACAGGACCCCAATCTTACCTCCATAGTGTAGATCTTCTCAATATACTTGAAGTGTCTTTGAGAACCCGAGCTATAAATTGCTGTTCCAAAAACCTGAAATGTAACATCAGCACAGAAACAGATGGGCCTCAGAGAGAGGGCTGGCATTAAGGGACTCACGGTTGACAATGTACTTCCACCCGCCCTGTGTGCTTCCTTGCCTTCCCCTCTTCTTATGGGGTTTTAAGTTTTGCCACATCTTATTCATGAACCTATGTGTGGCCAGGCACAGGGGTACAGGCCTCTTATCCCAGGTACTAAGTGGAGATGAGGAGGACTGTAGTTTGAGGCCAGTCTAGGAAAGAAGTTTGTGAGACCACATCTCAATCAAATAAGCCAGGGTGTGGTGGCACATACTTGTCATCCCAGCTACCCGGGAGGCAAAAATAAAAGGATCACAGTTGAAGCTGGCCCAGGCAAAAAGGTGAGACCGAATTATAAAAATAACTAAAGGTGGGCTAGGAGTGTGGCTCAGGTAGCAGAGCACCTGTCTAGCAAGAGTGAGCCCTGAGTTCAAACCCTAGTACCACCAAAAAAAATCTGTGTGTGCACATCTGCAGCTGCAGCTGGAAAACACTGGACTTGTTTAAACATGAGCTGCGTATTTGTTTTAGGAACGAGACCCTGCAGTTCACATGTCTGACCACGTGGATCCCTGCAGCACGCTCACCAACACATTGAGGACACACTTGGCAGCCAGGGACCAGTCGAACATGCCCAGGCACTGGATCACTGAGAGGACGCTCATGGGGCTCTGGAGCAGGTTTTCCATGTTAAAGAAGTCATATTCGAACACCCGCTTGCACCGGAGGAAGGTCAGCTCACGGTACTTCTCCAAGGACAGATTGGCACTGGGGGACCGGGCGAAGAGGGGATCGTTCTCCAAAGCCGAGAAGATCATTTTCTGAAACCATAGCAATGAGGATAACTGACTTGATAATACAGCTTTCCTTCAAGGCCACTGCTGCCTGGGACACAGTCAGAGCCAGAAGCAGCAGGGAGAAGAATGTCATTTTCAACCCAGAGGAAGAGCTAGAGGCTCAAGAAGCTGTGCAGGCTATGCTTACCATGTCCTCTTGGGCAACCCCCTGGGTGATGAAGGAGAAGAAGGGCCCACGCTGCCCAGGGTTACCCCATCTTACAAAGTGGAGAGGCCAGGGAGGCCACATGGCTTCGGTGCTGCAAATCCATGTCTGCCAGTGAACGCACACCCTGCAGGCTGCCCACATCCCTAGGGCCGAGGCCACCAAGCCTCACCTTAAAGCGGAGCACGTCCTCGCCCTCCCAGAAAAGCAGCAGCTCCCTGCAGCTGAAGGATGCTCTCTCCCGGTACACGCTGAGGGGCCCCTTGGGGAGGTCTGACCACAGGACATCGTCGCTTCCTTCTGGGCTGGGTGCCATCATTTCATGTCAACCTTCAGGGAGGACACAATGAAGCAAGATGCTGCACACCACCCATGAACAACAAAGAGCTTGTGACATGTGATAACAAGAACAAAGCAAGCTGAGCAAGCTGGTTCCACGGGACCCCAGGAGACAGTGGGCAGAGGAGCGGCAGCAGGCCAGGCCACGCAGGCTCTCCTTGTTGAGCTCCTGAACAAAGTGGGAGGGAGGGAGCCAAAAGCCACCCTGGGGCTTGGGAAGCTGGGAAGGCCAAGGTGCAGGTGGTGGTGGCTGGGGAAGAGTCAGAGTGTGCTGGGGGCTTGGGCAGCTGCTGGGCAGCTGCTACACAGCTGTGCCTCCAAGGCACCAGACAGTCCAGGTCCCTCAAGGATCCCCAAGCCCAGTACAGCTACCTGCCCCTCTGAAACCAGCCAAAGCTGGCCAGTACCTTCTGCTACACATGATCATCCATAATGTCCCTGCCCACCTGGACGCAGGCCATTGGCCACAGAACCTTTGACTATAGGTTTTTGTCCTGGTCTGTATTCAACATGCAGGCCTCCCACTAACAGAGCAGGGGCTCTTAACCAAAGATCTGTTCTGAAATTTTCTGAATAGCCTGGTTCCAGGGCCTTGGCTATTCAAGCCATAGGAGGGAAATGGCTTTGTGAACCCAGACCTACAGAAACATGCAAGAGCCAAGTCCAGGTGCAGAGGGCCTGAGAACTTTGGAATTCTTGGAGGTGCCTGTTGAAACAGTCTATGGTTGGATCCTATATGACAATCATATAGGCGATGCTTCTGCACATGAGGGAAAGACGGGACAGCACAGCTGAGCACCTGCTGGGGTGCCAGGAATCCTGCCCTCTGCAGAGCAGCCCTACGTAACCTTCCCAGCAACGGGAGCCATGCACCTGGTCCCTCCCTGCCCAGATCCCAAGACACTGAGGTTTCTTTCTTTCCACACAACCTCAGCTGGGACATGGGCAGAGATGGGATCGAAACCCAGCAGTGTTGACCCAAAGCAGATCTGGGAGAATCAGCTAGGACACAGGCAAGGACGCCCAAACTAACCAGTGGCAGGTGGCAGGGAACAGGCTAAGAGATGAAAGCAAAGCCAATAGAAGAGAAAGGAAGACAACAGCAGAGAAAAGCTAGGAAGATGAAAGCTGGGTCCTCAAAAAGACTGATGATTCTGGCAAAGTTCTAGCCAGACTGACCTTGGAGAACAAGACAACTCAGACTCCTGGTTGGGAGTCCAAGAGGAGATGTAACGACTAGGTACAAAGGAAGAAGAAGCATTAAGAGGGAAGTAATGAACTGCAGGATCGATGAACAGGTCAAACTCCCAGAAGACACATCCACCAAAATTGACTGATGAAAAGTAGACTTATAATGACTAACGAAATTAAGTTAGCAAGCGATAAACTCCCACAGAGAAGAAACAGAGGGTTTCACCTGTGGGTTCTGCCAAACTTTTAACAAAGAATACCAACTAGCCACAAACTCTTTCAAAAACAGGAGAGTAGAGAACACTTCTACTTCACAGCCCAGCTTGACCTTGACATCAAACCACCCAAAGACACTGCAGGACAGTCACAGACTAGTATCCTTCATGGTTCAGATGCAAAGGCCCTCGACAAATTTTGCAAACTGAGTCAAGCCCCATATAAAAAGAATTATAAATCATGAACAAATGGGATTTGCCCTGGGAAGGCAAGTTGGTTCAACATTTGAAAACGAATTAATGTAATACATCGTATCAATAAAAAAGGCACAAAAATTATATGGTCATGTCAACAGATGCAAGAAAAAAACTTGACAAAACATAACACGTCTTCAACAATTAAAACTGGACAAACCTGGAATGGAGGAGAAGCTCATTTCACCATGAGGATTAGCTCAGCGTTTCAGGAAACGAATGTGTTTACTCTGCTTTGAAACTACACAACGCACATGTGGATCAAACATCACAGGGAAACCCATAAACAAGTATATTTTTTTACATGGCAACTTAAAACGTTTTTTTTTTAAAAAGAAAGTGAACTTCACCTTCCTGATAAAGGGCATCTACAAAAAAAAAAAAAAAGCATGCAATGATCACATTTAAATGTGACCATATGTCCCCCAAGATCAGGACCAAGACAAGGATGTCCACTCTGTTGCTTCAATCAACTTTGTACTAGAGATTCTGGCCAATGCAATCATGCAAGAAAATGAAATAAAAGGCGTCTGGATTGGAAACTTATTTCTACTTGCACATGATGTGACCTTATATATAAAAAACCCTAAGGAATCACTAAAAGATTATTAGAACTAATAAATTATTATAGTCAGTTTTCAGGTGTTAAAGAAAAATGATGGGAGGCCATTGCTGTGGACAGAGCTCCTGCCCTAGGCCCCAACAGACCAGACCACACCAGAATGGTGCTAAATGCCACATCATCACACTGAGACTTGAAGGAAGGCACCCTGCTGTTATTTGGATCTGGACTGTCCCCCAAAGGCCAATGGTTGGTCCCCAGTGCTGTGATGGAACCTTTTAAGAGGTAGGGACTAATAGGAGATCTTTGGGTTAAAAGGGGCATGCCCTCCAAGGGGAGCCTGAAACTACAGTCTCTTCCTCTTCCTTTCTGTCCCAATGTGCCACTTCACCACAGGCCCAAAGCAATCGGGCCAACCAAACTGTGGTTGGACTGGAAGGTCTAAAATTCTGATTCAAAAATAAACCTTTTTTGTTTATAAGTTGATTATCTCAGGTATTTGTTATAGTAACAGAAGCTAACATAATCCCCAGACAAGTTCTTGAAAACAAGCAATTCCAGTCTGCCAGAATGCAGTCAGCATAATGAGGAAGCCCTCTCTGCTTTTGCCCTGACCAAAAAAAAAGTAACCTTACTTAAAGAAAAAAAAGTAATTCTTACACTTGTGGTCTGTTGCTTTGTGACAAGCATGCAAGGTAATTCCAATGAGAAAGAACAGTCTTTCTGACCAGTGGTGTTCAAGTTCACAACCATACCCAAAAATTAACTCACAGTGGCTCAGAGGCTGAAACAAAAGAATTAAAACTGCGAAACGCTTAGAGGAAAAAGCAGGAGTTAAGTCTTTGTAATCTTAGGCCAGCAAAGCCTTCTTGGATGTGGTATCAAAGGCATACGAAACAAGAGAAAAAGGAGATAAATTACATTTCATCAAAAGTAAAACTTTTGTGGGATTTGCTCTAAATCCCAGGATAATAAACAGTCCCTATGATCCCATACCACCAAGGTCACCAACATTACTGCATTGAGGTTACAGCTGCCATAAACAAGAATTGCAAAGACTGACTGCCTTGGTTCAAATCCCAACCTTACAGTCCCTAGTTAGGTGACCTCAACAAGTTGCTTCACCGCCCTGTGTTCAGGAGTCACATGCAGCCATGCCTGCATCTAGGACAGGGCTGGAACCGCATCAGGCACGTGGAACCACTCCTGGCATGCAAGGGGTGGCTTCAATTCCATTTATTCTGCCACCAGCTGCCACCTGTCCTTTCCTCCTGTAAGAGGCCACAGTTTTGCGCTGGGTCCTGCACTAGGTCCCAATAGCCCAGAGTCCAAGAGTGGAGTCACTCATGCTAAAGGTCACTAAAACTCTCAGGCAGCACATAGGTTTTTTTTTTTTCCTGGAAGTAGGCGATTCCTGTCTACCTGCGTGCCATCACAAGAAAGTCCCCTCTGCTTTCATCCTTACAAAAAGGTGACCTGACGTTACCTTTTCTCTGTCCTTGCCTCGCTGTCCCCACCATAAGGACCACTGCCCTGCTCTGCCGGTGGGAGCTGACCCTCCGTTTCGCAGAACGGAGGCTGCGGGGATTGGAGTCGCGAACACGAGACAATTAGACCTACGGCTGAATTTGTGCCGACTTTTGTCTTGTGACACCTCTCTGCAGTGGGAAAGATGGTTTTAAAATGTCTGTCTGCTCACTCTCTCCTTAGCTGCCGGTGACCTCAGGGGACAGAGTCCAAACTTCTGTGGAGGCCCTCACGGCCGGCCTCCCCCGGCCCCGCACGGACCCCCGGCCGCGGCCCCCCGCCCTTGCACGTCCGCACTCGCCCAGCGCACCTGCCCGGGGCTAAGCGGGTTCCACCTTCAGGCCCGTGGCACCGAGTCCCCGCACCGTCCAGCGCACACTCAGCGGACGCCAGCGCAGGGTGAGAATTGCAGCGCGGGCCCCGCCCCTGTTGGGGGCGAGGCCTGAGCAGGCCACAGACGTCATCACTCCGCGCGCGCCCCGTCCCTCCCTCGGCATCGAGGCGTGGCCTTCCGTTGTCTGCTTGACGTCATCATGCCGCGCCTTCCCGTCACCTGGAAACAGGACGCGTTCTCCCAGGGCCTAGGCAGACAGGTCAAGAGCGCCTTTCTCCCGCCCCAGGCCTCTCTTGGCACGCTGTTGTTCTCAGATGCGTTTTACGCCAGAATTTCTCCTGTGTCCCGGAGGCGACCTTATTGCAAAGGAATTCAGGAGATAGTTATTTAATTTGCAGATTCCCGGGGTCCCTCTCAGTCCACCTCCGGCTGAGCGTTGTCAAGAGAGAAAGTTCGCCCAAGTGCTCGCTGAAGTTTGAGAACCATGGTCCTGCACAGGTCCTCAGCGGAACCGTGGACGTGAGCCCTAGTGGCTTGTAGCAGTAACCAACTCAGCAATACATCTTTACTTGCTCTTAGTTCTGTCTCACACGTCTTCCCTCCTGCGTCTGGGAACCAGTCCACATTTAATTTTCTGCACCCAAATCCTGTTTCAGGTCTGTTTGGGACAAAGAGGATTCCAAGCTAAGACTTACACGTCTATAAAATTTACAGACAGAACCAACTGGGCTTGGTGACTTGCCATGTAAAGTCCAAAGGTTTCCATTTAAAGGAACTGGAAGATGGGTAGCACAATATGGGAAAGAAAAAGATGGTAAGTTCTGTTTGACACGTGTCAGGTTTAAGGCCTTGGTAACACGCCTGCATGGTGGTGTCAGGTGCTGTTTAGAAAGTCTCTCTATTCCCTTTGTATTCTGAAAAACTTTCTTAAACTCTGTAATATTATCCTTCTCAGTTACCACTCCTACTCCTACTCAAAACAGACATAACCACGGCTGCACTGGGACCTTCCTGGTGAAAAGCAGAAGGGAACAAAGGGCAGTCCAGGGACCTGCACATGCACAACTAAGCAGTCAGACAACCATCTGGTGTTTTCGCAAGGGTCTCTGAACTCACGGGTGCACCCAGGATCACCTGCAGGAGACATGCTGCCGCTTCTCAAATGTTTGGAGATACTGTTGAGAATAATATAATACCCATTCACTGCTGAATTCACACCTCCCAGTTCGCAATTTCTGCCCAAACCACAACTACTAATAAGCTGGGTTCACGCTTTATCAGCCTTAGGAAAACATAGCTCTCCTTAGAAATTATCAACCTAAATGAGCAGCAGAGATTGTATCTCTAAAACAAGTATTTTATTTGGGAGTGATAGGGAACAGGCATGCCGTGGTAGACCACAGTAAAATGAGAAAGGTTTCACATGCTGTTTGTGAACACCTACCCTTAGCTTAGAGGCAGGATATTGCCTATCCAGTGCTGATGGCAATTGCCAGACAGGCTTCCTCGGAGAATTTTTGTGGCAGGTTGTGGTTTTGACAGTCTTTTTTGTGATAGTTCTTATTATCAGGCAAATGTGCATGATGGCTGGGGAGTGGGTCAAGTGGTAGAGCACCTGCACAGCAAGCACAAGGCCCTAAAGCCCAGTACAGCAGCAACAACAACAACAAAAAAAACAGGGGCAAATATGTTCATGAGAGCCCCTCCAAGTAGTCTTCCAATTCTATTTTGTCTGGGCTTAACTACGTACCTCCATTTGATTCTGACAACTTCCACAAAAATCATTCATGTAAACTGCAGGAGTGAGGGAGAGAGGAGACATTTTTAAGCAGACATTTGGGGGGCAATAAGAGGGAAAGCCTCAGAGCCTGAAATATGCCTATGGCAGGGGAGTTGGAGGGTGGCAAGGGAGCCTGGTGACTTTTTACAGTTCTCTTTAGGATTAGGTGTCATCACAAAGCATTAAAGGAGAAAACACCCTGAGCACGTGTCCCAACTCTGGACTACCCTCAGGCTTCCCTCCCTGCTCTGAGTCCTTCCATCCTTCTCACGTTTATCTGTGGCTGTCCGCAAACCCTGCTCTCAGGACTGACTCCTAACACATTTTGGCCCCACTATTTCACTCTATTTCATTTTCTGGTGACTGGGTTGTTCCAGCTTGGTGTAGCAGCACTTACCTGTAATCCTAGCATTTGGGAGGTAGAGGGAGGAGAATTGTGAGTTTGAGGTCACCTGGATTACATGAGCAAAACCCTATCTCAAAATAAATAGAAAAAAAGATTGTTCTTCACAGTTCTGACCTGGCTTTACTTTAGGACGCTGCTCTAGCCCTTCTCCCCAAACCACAGTTCAGTTCTGGGCCCTAGGACACTGCCCACACTGTGTCTAAAAGACAACATCATGGACAGCGCTATGTGGAATCAGGTGGACATTGAGCACAGTGGTGAGGTAGGAAGAAAGGGACTGTGCTCTCCTTTGTTGGTGTTGCTGGGAACTGAGTGGCTGGAGATGTGGTTGAGGTCAGCACACAGGGAGAGGAATGAGTTTGGTTTTGTACATGTTCTGTTAGCTACTTCCTGGTAGCTCCTGCCAGGAGCTGCAAGTGAGGAAACTCTTTTTGAGTGGCCCAGCTGACAGTGACTCAGCAGCAGTGCACTGGGGCCTGCCAACAGATCCTGCCCACTGCTGTTTGGTGGTTCATTTTGACTTCTATCCCACCACCACCCTGTCTGCCATGCCCATTCTCTGCTCCCTTTTACTCATCTGATCTGTTGGTCACCCCTGGTACTGCATTATTTGAACACATGTTAAAACTAAAGTTTGCGCCCACACTCTGGTCACTTCTCTCCCTCTATTCCCCTTCCTGCTTTCTCTCCCCTACCCACTGCCTCCATGGCTGGCTCAGGATGCAGAGTGGTGGGGATGTGGGATGTAGTCACCAACCATGTCACTGAGTGGTAGCAGGGGTGAGGATTCAGCACCAAGCAAGGTACCACGACAGCTCTGTCATGACCACCACCGCCTAAGGCCAACCTCCCAGCCCTTGTAAAAATCACACACACACAGAGTGATTACACCTAGTAGACCACCTAGAATGGTGCTGGGAAAGAGCTATGAGATAATAAATATGGTTTTGCATAAAATGCCCATGCAAAAGGCTGAATGCTCCTGTTATGAGCTAATGGAAAGGTTTTTTTCATTGTAAACCCAGCATATTCAATCCAAACGGTTTGTCAACCTAAAAGGGTTAGAGAGAGAAATTTGCAGTCTGTATTTACTGGGGACTGGGTGGAGACTGCAGCAGGACTACACACATGCAGGTCAGCGGGGGTTGGGCCAGAGGGAGATTTTAAAGAAAAAGAGAAGTCCACGTAAGCTGTTTATAATACAATCAGTTCTGAGGGCTTGTTGGTGAAGACAGACTAGCATCTTTCTACAAGCTGCATATGTGGAATGCTGCAGTCTTGAGCAGTTTCCTTGCCATAAACCCTATTACAGGCAAACATGGAGTGCCTGCAGGAATACCTCACCAGAAGGCCTGTTAGAGGTATGCCTGCCTGAGACTCCCCCTTCATGGCCTCCAATTCCATCTCTTAGGTTTTGACATGGTGACTCCTGTTGGCACTGATGACTTTCACAGGTTTGCATGCTGGAGGAGTCTTGGCATCAGGTGAATATGTGGCTGCTGCTGACATGGGCTGAAGCCCATATTCTGATGGGCAGGATGGGACTGCTGCCTAGAACTCTCAGAGTTCTCGCACTTGGAAGTTGAGGATCTGAGACTCCAGAGCTGTGCACCCCACACAGTGGCCACCATGGGCCTCCTGTGGCTACTGAAACTTCAAAATGTATCAGTTAGAGCTCCTGCATAGCAAGTGAAAAGCCCTGAGTTCAAACCCCAATACTTCAAGAAAAAAAAAAAAAAAGAAAAAACCATTTTAAATATGAATCAGTAAAAAATAACTGAAATTCTCTAAAGTTTAAACCAGCTCCGTCATTACACCAACTACAGTACAAGCCTCTGTAGCCTTACTGGACCATGCAGATAGATGCAGACACCTCCAGCCTCACAAAGTCCTTTGGGCAGTGCTACCTAGAGACTCCAAAACACGACTGCAGACCAGAAAGTACCTCCCCAAGTATACTTCCATGGCATACCGTGTGCTGGTTAGAGAGGACACTGCACACGTAGTGTCCTCTGCGTCTGAAACCTGTCCCTGTAAAGAAAACTTGCATCTATAAAGTGAATGTACACCACTGCAGGACCTAGATGAGGAAGAGGCAGCTCCAGGCAATTTTTATCACCTGAGACTTTATCTGCCCAGTGGAGCCTGTGGTCACGTGCCATTCTTCCTTTACCCATATTTTGCCTTGCCATCATCCCCCAAAGCTTTGAGCCCCTGTTCTTTTCATAGTTCCAATCATCTGACCCTTCCCTGAGTCCCCTATTTTATGGACTCCTATATGTATATAAATAATTGAATGTAGGTTTTCCCTTGTTAATTTACCGACTGTCAGTTTAGTTCATAGACTCAATGATGAAACCCTCAGAGGAGACAGGCAAAGGCTTCTCTCCCTTATAGCCCTGATCTAGTCCCAGGCAGTAGGCCAGAACCTTGACCTAAGCCTGGATCTCGCTGGTTTCCTCCCTGTGCCAGCAGTGTTAGGCTGGAAACTGCTTCTCCTGGGAAAGTCAGTTGTGGACAGCTCTACCTTCTACAGTTCTCCTGCCACACTCCTTACTCTTGGTGACCTTCTCCCTCCATGATTGTACAGACATCTTCCAGATGCAAAAAGTATGGTAGTCGGGGCTCCCAAGTTAATAACATGTCTTCACTAAGGGACAGAGGTGACAACCAACAAAAAATGTGGGTAATTTTTTTTTAAGGCACAGCAGTAACATACAAAATGGTCTGGGGGCTATTTGGCTGGTGATGGAGAACCCCTGCCTGAGGAGGGGACATTCCAGCTGACTCCCAAGATGTGGGGATGTGCATTCTGGGGATAAGGGACACCCAGAAGACAGGCCCAAAGGTGGGAGTGAGATGGGACAAAAGACAAAAAGACCATCATGGTAGGGGCCGAGCAGGTACAGGTAGAGGGCTGGAAACTGAGGTTGGAAAGAGAGGCAGGAGCCAGACTGTGTGGGGTGTTGGAGGTGGTTTTACTGGTGGGGAAGATGTTCCTCGGTTCTTCGGGTGTAAAGCCTAAGGTCAGGACGCCGTCCCAGATGCAGTAAGAGAACCACAAATAGGCAGATAGCACTGCTGAAGTGCCTCAAGGTGTGAGGTGGGCAGTTTGGATCAGGGCCAACTGCCTTGAAGTTGTTGGGGCTTGGGGTTTTTATTATCTAATAGGGGAGGGTTACTAGGTGAGCTGAAACTGGGGCCTCCCCACCTTGTGATCCTCTCAAGTGGTTTGGCAAGCACGAGGTAGCTGCCCGAGTATGAGGTGTCATACACCTATGAATCTGAGGTGAGGCCAGGTATCTGTGCATTTGATCCTCTTTCGCCCTTTCCGGTCCAACACCACCAATGGAAGATTATAAGTGGTTATTACACCACTTGATATGGGGGTATGCTCGATAATAACGAGGATGCAGGGTCATTATCTTAATCACAGGTCCAGAGTGTTGGGGCCACCTAGTGTTTTATGATTTTGCCCCCAAAGGAGGAAGAGAATCTTGCCTGGGGGGACATTTCCTCATTTCAACTGATGTTTGCCTAGCTGCCTACACCAAGAGAAGCCAGCAGACAGGTTATGTGGACTCTTAATTCAGTGGGATGGTTTCCAGCAAGGAGCTGATACTTTCTGATACAAGGATACCAGGTCATATCCAATGAGTTTCCACCTCTCCCCCAAACATTGGCTTCTGAATTTATGACCTCTCCCTTCAAGTCCTAGGCCTGCAGGTTTCTTCCATCTCTTTCTGCTGTGCCCATGTGATGTGCAACAGAGAAGCAGGGGTTAGCTAGTTCCTAGACACGCAAAGCCTCACAGCCAGAAAAGAGGCCAGAGGAACGAGAGTGGGAGCCTTGAAAACAAGGGGCTTTTAAGGATTTAAGCCCACATTTAAATGAAGTGGCACTTTTGCTGCATGTGGAGACGCCTCAGCGGATACCTGCCTTCCTGCCACTTTGAGCAAGCACACCACACACCAAGTTAAGAGCAACTTAAATGAGTGAGGACTAAAATGGGGCCTAACGCCAGTGCCCCAGACCAGTGAGGACTGTCCTACAATGCACTAAAACTCCCTAACCAGAACTTTGTTCTTGACTTTGGTAACACCAGCAAACATGCACAGATATGTGCTGACCTTCGCAGTCAGGAGAATCACAGAAGGCTTGTCTTAAGCACACTGCTGTAACTTTGAATTCCGGTATGGGGGGGTTATTTCTCTTTAACTCAGTTGTCACTGAGTTCTCCTTTCAGGACACCTTTGTTTTGAAATAGGAGGAAACTTAGTCACTAACTTCTCTTTGTGACCTTGCTTTTCATATTAGTCTGCCTCCCTGTCAGCTGGAGGCTTTTCCAGAGCAGAGCTTGACTTAACTCTGGATCCTTAGTGCTTGGCCCAGGTCCCCACACACATTAGCAGCTTAGTAAGATTTGTAACTGTCTATCTTTTGGCTGCGCTAATCAGGCTCAATATGTTGGAAGTGTTGGATTTGAACTGTGTTCCCACAAAAGATACATGAAAGTCCTAATCTTCTCTAGGATCCAAGATCTGATTTGGAAATAGAGCCTTTAGATGTACTCAAAGGTCAAGGACCTAAGGCCCAAACTCCTGGAATTCCACATGTTAGATCAGGCCACTTGCTCCTTTATGCAAAATACAGTGAAGAGCACAGACACACTGTGGGAAGAGGCAAAGTAAGCATTTCAGCCCATTTTTGGCCATCTTTGGGGCAGACATGAGCTTTGACTTTAACTAGAGAAAGATTTAGGACAGGAGACAAAAGGTACACATAGCCAAATATTTCCAGGGCAGATTGGTTGGGTAAGGCCTGGTTGACCATTATCTCAGTCCTATATTCTTTGAAGATTCCAGAGAAGTTACTATTGCTATCACCACTTGGGAGTGATCCAGTTCCCAGGACATAATTAATCCTGCTCCAGCCTCTTCATTATGGATAATTGTCCACATTTGGGGGGCTCTGCTGTTCCTTAGGGGTAGTTTCGGTTTCTTGTCATAAAGATGTTATCAACCCCTGAGCCTTCAGAACTGTGGAGAACAGCTGTGTCTGTTTCATGTGTGGTGATTTGTTTTGGAAGCCCTAGGACACACAGATTACATAAAAACCAACCTCAAAGGCTGATGGAAGAGTACGTATGTCTGCAGTGTTGCCTTACTTAATTCCACAGACGTTTGGCCTGTGATGAACCACGGGACTCGAGTTAGTTTCCACTTCTCTTTGATTCTGACAGATTCTTTAGAGAACAGCAGATCCCAGCCAAGGGACTCATGTACAAAAAGAATGCGTATTTGAAGCTTTAAAATTTCACTAGAGATTCTGCAGGCCAGTACTGTTAACACTGAACTACACCCGTAGATTGTGAGCTGCTGGGCAGGAATTTTCAGAGGACACACTGGGGCTTGTGAGAAAGAAGCGGTCACCCTTTTAAGTGACTGCTAACATCCTTTCAAGTGGTTTTTTTTTTTTTTTAAGTTTCAAATAATGCCCTTCAGAGACCACAAGGAACCGGCTTAAACCAGCCCAAAGCACGGAGTCTTACTTCTAGGTGACCTAGAGGGGACTCTGCGCGTTTTAATGCTAAATTCTCCACCGGGTGGGGCGTTCACGCTGCCAGCTCGGAGCACGCCATGTGCGGACAAGTAAGACCGCGAACTCAGCCTGTTGAGGAACGTGACCTTCAACACGCGAAATGACGTCTTTTCAGCATGGATATGCATAAGTCTCCCAGTAAAATCTCCGTGCGCCCGTGTTTTGGGCGACACTGCCTCGGTAGCGGCAGATAATAAACCTCTTCACTCTCTGTCCTCAGGTAGTGCTTATTGATTGGCTTTGCAATCACGGAGAGAACCCACCGTGCTCGGCCACAAGATGACCTTCCTCCGTGGGGAACGAGGTCACTGTGCCGTTTTACGAAACACTCTTTCCACGAAGGAAAGCAGACACGAGCCGCAAGTGAAGGAAAAAGGCGCTTTCCTAAAAGAAGGGACATGGAGCACTCACAGTCAAGAGCCCTGACCGATCGGTAATCAATACCGAAATCGCGATGGGCTCCAGTCGGATTCGCCGACTGAGTTCCCTGAATGTGCCGCCTCCAGAATCCTCTCCCAAACTCAGCTCTAGTCGTGTCATCTTCAGGCACCCACGCACCCTGGGCGGACGCCGGGAGAGAAAAGCAGAACAGCCCTAAGCCCCACGACTGGATCCTGGCCAGAGAATCCCGGGAGGAGGGGAGAAGGAAGGAAGCGACCTACGCCACTTCCTGTCCACGTCCCCGCCCCTGACGTCATCATGTCGCGTCCGGGGTCTACGTCATCGCCCCGCGCCGCTGCCGCGACTCTAATCATGGCAGAAGTGGGCCGGGTGCAGGTGTGCGATCCCGGCGGGCTGCTTCCGGGTGGCTTCTGGGCGGCCGTGGCCGTGTGGCTGGAGAGGCCGCAGGTAGCCAACAAGCGGCTATGCGGCTCCCGGATAGAGGCCCGCCGGAGCGCCGCCCTGCCAAGCGCGGGCCCCGAGCGGAAGGAGCGGGACGCGGCGGGACCCGGTCCGCAGGAGGGACCAGAACCCGGTCAGGGTTCTCCTGAGAGAGATTCTAATTCCAGGCCGGGATTAGGACCTGAGCACGAGGAGGGTGCCGCGGCGGGACGTGGACTCCAGGAGGGGTCCCCCGAGGGTGACCCTGACTCCAGGGCAGGATTAGGACCTGCGCAGGGCACTGCTGGTCGTGGACGCGAGGAGGCCCAGGGCTGGCGCCCCCAGGTTAGGGAGCAGAAGGAAGCAGCCGCAGCGCCTCCGCTCGCCGCGGACCCCACACAGCCCCCACAGACTGCAGGCAGTCAAGGCGAAGACCCCGCAGCAAATCTGGATTTGATCTGGGACCATTTCTCCAAAAGCCTTGCCAGCGGCAACTCGGAAATGCTGGCCTTCCTCACTGGCTCTCGGGAGGGATCGCAACCAGAAGCACCGCATGAACTCGACCTGATTCTCAGGATTGTCATCCCGAAAGCGAGTCCTCATAGCCGACTCACAGCCCCGAGGAGAGAAATAGTCGTGCAAGGTAAGAGCATATTTGATCGCGGAAGGATATGATTAGGCTTAAAAGCATTCGTTGAACATCAGGTCAGTGAAAGACACTAAAGGTACCTACGATTCCGGTTCCTCTGCGGTATAACTACAGAGGTTGTAGGGTTTCCAGTGTTTTTTGAACAGCTTGTAGAATATGTGTCTGCAGTACAGAAGATGGGATCACTGGTTGGGTGGTTGGGGTCTGGAAGGCTTCAGGGAAAGGTGAGGGCTGAGCTGGATGTTGAATGACAAGCAGAAGTTTAGCGGGTGAAGAGAAATGAAAGGCATGCAGGTATCGATGGGCGTGAGAGAGCATGTGACTGCTAGTCTTCAGTGTTGGTCACATTTCAGACTGGGGGTTGAACTCGGCTTCCTACTTGCTAGGCAGACAAAATTTCAGGCATTTGTTGTGACTGTCTGTGACCTTGAGACTTCAACCACTCCCTGCCTCAAACTTTATTCAGCAGTGTATGAGTTTCCTGTTGCTGCTGTAACAAATTACTGCAAACTTAATGGCCAAAACCAGATGAGTTGATTCCCTCTCATAGTTCAGTAGGTCAGAAATCAGGGTTGACTGTTGGTTTTCCTCTTCTGGGGCTTTCTCCCGGCTGGCTCGCTCCCAGGAGGGTGTGGGAGAGAATCCACTCAAGCTCCTTTAGGTTGGGAGAGTCCAGTTCATGGTTGCAGAACTGTGTCCTTGTTTCCTGGCTGGCTTCACTTCCTCCAGGCCTCTCTCTGACTCTTTTGTATAGTTCCCCACATGTCTGATACTACAGAGGTGTAGAGTCCTTCTCATGTGTCTGGGATTAGATTGAGCCATCTGGATAACCCAGAGCCCTTTCCCACTTAAGGCCTGTAACCCGAGTCATGTCTGCAAAGTCCCTTTTGCCACGTGACACAACATATTTCTGAGTACTGAGCACTAAGACATGGATGTCTTTGGGGGCCCATTCTGCCTACTGTGGGCAGCATTTGTTGAAGGTGCGTAATGCCTTGGACACCCCCCAGTACTGGCTGCTTCTGCCCTTCCTTCCTAAGACTTCCATGGGTTCTCCTCCAGCAACCTCACTGACCTACCAGTCCACTCCAGTCTAGGAGTTTTTCCAGCTATTAGCAGTGTCATAACCTTAATCATTTTTTAATTTCCTGTCCACTAGACTGAGAGGATCATCAAAGTAGTACCCGGGAGGCCTTGTAATGCTGACTGAACTGAGGAGGGACAGAACTCTCCTTCCTCCTTCAGTGGAGAGCGCTGTGTTAGGTTTGCTGTAAACACTAAGGTCCTGCCCAGGAAGGCTCATCAGAGGATTAATGTCCTCCATGGAGCACATATGGCCTGGCTTTGAATTCTGCTTTGCCAGTTAATAGCTGTAGGGCCCTAGGCAGGTTATATGGCCTTTCTGTGTCTCAGTTTCTTTATTGCAAATGGGATAATATAATCTTTCAGAGTTGCTGGAGTGGTTAAATGAAATTACACATCATAAAATGCTTAGAATAGTTTCTGGTAGGTGCTTCGTAAGGTGGGGATGCTGTTCTGGGTTTTTGTATATTTCTTGGTCTTGCTATGGGTAGGCTCACAAAGGACTTAGAGGAGTGTGATGAAGAAATCTTAACTCTTGCAGCAAGCTCAAGTGACCCGGTGGAGAAGAGGTTGACCTCGGTGGTTGAATGGGTCAGAGGTCATCTGGGCCATGTGAATTTGGTACTGATGATTGAACTCTGCAGTACCTCAGTGTCTTCACCTACATCAGAGGTTCTCAGCCTGGGCAAGTTTGCTCCCTGGAAGTTTGTCACTTTCGGAGACATTTTTGGTCACTACTCCTGGCTGGGGGATGGGGATGCTACTGCCATTGAGTGGGTGGAGACTGAGAAGCTGCTAGACATCCTGCAGAGAGTAGCCCCAACCATAAGAGCTGTCCAGCCAGGTGATAGTGGTGCCGAGGTGAGAAGGCCTGATCTAGAAGCTGGTGAAGACAGTAGTAGGTTGTAAAGCCACTGTGGGTTAAATGAGGTGGTTCTGTGAGAGTGATGGCTTGGTTTTTGTCTTTTCTCTGACTCTGTCTCAGTAAAAGCTGTACTTCAATTAATTTCAAGGCCCCGTGTGATGTATGCCCTGTTAGATTTGATGTCCCCTCTGTCAGTGATCACCCTGTCCCCACCCAGCCTGAACACACTCCTGCCCCAGGGCCTTTTCAGTTGTAGCTTTTCTGTCTGAGATGCCCTGTCAGGTACCCCATGGCTCACGTGTCACATTATTGGGGAGGACTTCCCTGACTGCTCTGTATTGTGTAGTAACATGCCTATTGCTTCTTCCTAGCCCCTCACTCCACTCTTTCTGTCTGTATCTTGTAATCAATCCATCCTCTTCAGCTTCACCTTCCTTTTTGGCAGATCCCATTCTTTTGCCTGCTGTGGAAGGTGGTTTTAGTTTGCATCCTTAGTTTGTGAAGTGAGGAATGTGTTTGTCTTTAACTCTGACTTTGTTCTTTTTTATATAAACGTAAACACAATCGATTTAAAAAACGGAACTTCATACAACCAAACCTTGTTTCCACACAAATTGATAAGATGTTGTGAGTCTAGTTTGGGAATGTTGCTCTGCTTATATTTTAACAAGGAGGTAAGTGCAAAGGCCTTGCAGGTAGTGAGGTGAGGATTCCACACAAGATGGGGCCCTGGAAGGATATTCACTGTCCTGAACCTGCCTCTGCTGGTCGGGTAGCATTCTGTGCCATCCTCATCAGAAGATCAAGGTCGTCTGTGACAGACACTCAGCTAGAACAGAGGCCCTGTTCTCTGATCCACGTCAACTTCCTTCCCCTAGCTCCCCAGCACTTGGCTGCTGAGAATGGCTGCTGTGACCTTCTCACTTTCGGGGTACTGGGCTGTAGAGGCTCCAGCTTTGGGAGATGGACAGCTTCATGCTTTACCCACTACTGTTGTCAGCTTCTGATGAGCCCCTGAGTTAAGCAGTTGTGATTTGTCATCCTTGCCTTTTTTCCAGATGTCCCCAGTGGAACTGCAACGTTTTTGCCCTTGGAAGAAGATGTTGAGGGGAGCGTAGAGGTTCAGATGAGCAATGTATATCAAGTCCAACTCCAGCATAGTGAAGGAAAGTGGTAAGGACCGCATGAACGACAGCTTCTGTCACTTCTGCAGGCAGTCGAAAGGTTCTGGAGTGCTGAAGGCTGAGATCCTGCCTCCTGTGTCTAGGGCCCTTCACCCTGGCTGATGTCCCTGGTCTCTACATCCCACATGGCTTTGATGGTCTGCAGCACTCAGTTTTAGCACTGTATCAGTCTGCTTTCTGTCACTGTGACAAAACACTGAAATCATCTTAAAGGAGGGAACATTTCTTTTGGCTCATGGGTCAGAGGTTTCAGTCAATGCTCACTTGGCTTTGTTGCTTTGGGCATCTAGTGAGGCCCTGTGTCATGCTGGAAGTGCACGGTGGTCAAAGCTGCTCACCTCATGGCAGCCAGGAAGCAAAAGACACAGAGCAAGAAGGGGCTGGAACAAATTATGCTCTTCAATGTAACGCCCCAGTAACTCGCTTCCTTCAACCAGGCCCTACCTCCTAGATGTCAGAAGCCCATTAAGTTACGAATTCATCAGTGGATTCATCAGTTGACAAGGTCAAAGCCCTGATGACCCAGTCACCTCCCACATGCCCACCTCTGGACATTGCTGCAATGGGGAACATGAGGTTTGGGGGCCTTTTCACATCCAAACCATAGTGTGCACTGAGTTCAAGTAACTCCAGCCCCGTCCTTGCCATGTTTGCACATCTTGGTCATCTTAGGTGGGTGGTACTTACTGTGCAGTGGATGTTCAGGCGGGCTGATCATACAGTATGTGTTAATAAGCCCTTGAGCTCAGAGTGCTGATTGAGCCTGTGCACAAAGAGGGATATTTAGTTGATTTCCACTTGGTGTTTTCTAAAGGAAAGAATCAGAGGAAGGGAGAATATATGCATTACTCTTTGGCTATACTTCCAGAAGCCGTGGTGGGCTGGTTCCTTCTACAGCAGTCCTGGAGGTCTTGTCCATGTACCTGGGGTGGGTCTGCACTAGCCACCCAGTGAGCAGAGGACATAGTGTGGGTTTTTGTGTTTTGTATTTTTGGTACTTGGTCTTGAACTCAGGGCCTTCACCTTGAGCCACTCCACTAGCCCTTTTTTGTGAAGGGTTTTTTGAGATAGGGTTTCACAGAACTATTTGCCTGGGCTGACTTTGAACCGTGATCCTCCTGATCTCTGCCTCCTGAGTAGCTAGGATTATAGGCGTGAGCCACTGTTTCCTGGCAGAGTATAGGTTTTGAAGTCAGACAGACCTGGGCTTCCCCACCAACAGTGCAGTCTTGGGTTTGTCAATCCATGGTCCTCAATCTTCTTATGGTGAAATAGGTTTAGTGACTACAGAACTTCTGTGGCTGGGCTGGGTCTCCAGGGACCCAGAGGACCTGATGGGAGTACCTAGAACCTGGGGCCTGCAATCCTGGGGAACATCTGGAGAGGCTTGCCTGGCTTGTCAAGGGTTCCTGTCCTGAGCTCTCTGCTCAGCATGCTCACATGGGAAAGTGAGAGAACCTGCTTACCTGGGGTGTCACCAGGGTGCCACCAGGGTGTTTGCTGTGCCAGGGCAGGCTGTCAGCGAGCTGGGAAGCAGCATCTATCTCATCTCTCTCAGCATGGTCCTTGGTGGAGTGTGCTGCATGGAGTCATGCTCACTGTTCTTTGGCAAGCCACCGGGGACTTGGCTGCTGCCCGCACCACCACCCCCCCGCTGCCTTTTGGAGTTGATATTTGCTGGCATCGCCTCACCAGGCAGCTGCCACCTGCATCACCCCTAGGGCCAGATGTTACTGCTGTCTCAGTTGAGCACAGATGAGCTGTGCATCCCATGGCCCCTCAGCAGGACTTACGTTCTTAACAGTGAGCACACAGTGCTGGGGAGGGGGACAGAAGTACATGCTCCAGTGTCAGGAAGTGCTGAGAAAAAAAAACCAAAGCAGTACTGTAGCTCTGTCCCATGACTACATTAGAAGAGGATGCCAAAGGAGAAGCCTGAATGAGTAAGGGAAGAAGTGTGTGGACCTCTGAGGACATGAAAGGACACTGAAGCCCAAGAAGGAGCAGGGCAACCCTTGGGGTCAGAATACTCTGTAGCCCATGGGAGGCTAAAGTTAGTGTCAGCCCAGCAGGAGAGCCCAGTGGCCAGCTAAGGGCAAAGGTGAGCACCAGTGTTGCCGTTTATACGCTGGACCTGGGTGAGCACAGCCAGAAAAGCTGAGGGGGCTATCAAGTTGTGCTCAATAGCCACTTTATTGATGATCATTTCTGCTTTTTATAAGCTGTTTTTTCACAGGGAGCATTTGGTCAGAAAAAGCATGCCAAGCATTACATGTCAAGGTTACATTAGTACAAGGAAGCACAGTTAAAATTAACTCTTTGTTATATCTCTTTTAAAATGGGAACAGAGAGGCAGGAGAAGCACACGGTCAGCATAACCTTCTTATTTACATCTGAAGGACACGAAGCCATCTGGGGAACCTTGAGCACTGTTGTTTTTCTGGACATCTAGTCCTGAGGCCTTTGCCTCAGTTCCTTGGAGCTTTCTCACAAGGCCAGATACCAAATCACACAGGCAAGGTCTGGTCCTGAGACCTTTGTCTCAGTTCCTTGGAGCTTGCTCACAAGGTCAGATGCCAGATCACACAAGCATGGTCCCACTGCTGAGTCCGACACACCAGGAGTACTTTCCAGCCTCTCCCAGTTCTGACCTGCCCTGGGGTGCATCACTCAGTGGAGGTTCTATGGGACTGAATTATGTCTCTGATGCAGTGTGGTGGCATACAGTCTGAAAGTCCTTGCTCTCACGAGATGTACTGACCACTCGCCCTTGTCAGTAGACAGCCCATCGGCAGGCTCTCTCATCCAGTGGTTGTTCTGCATGTTCTTGGGACCCTTGGTGATGTCACCTCTGTAGCATTTTCTCCTCTGCCCAGCAAGCTTAGTGCTCTCTCCCTGCAGGCCTTGCTCAGTGTGGTGGCATTGGCCTAAGCCCATGTATGTCCCCTCCAGCCCCTGAGGACCGTGAACTTTCATTCCTTTTTCACACAGATGGAGAGGTCTCCACGTATTCGGGCCATTTAGGGCCAGGAGTAGCAGTGATCAGAATAGACCAAAGCTGCGCCCTCCTTTCTTTCTGCTGGCAAACGCCCAGGAATGCGCTTGTCCTCTGTCGACAACACATATGGGCAGCACATGGAGAAATGTGTGAAAACAGAAAGTTTAGGAAAACCCTAGTGTGCTCACTTGGACACACAGAGGAGGAAGCAGGGTTTACAGGTTCAGCCCTCACTGGGTTGATCAGGCATTTCGTGCATATTTACAGCTTGAGGAGAAGGGGCTTCTTTCTGCTGCTTCAATGTGTTTGTTTTCTAGATAATGACACTTCCATAACTCCCAAATTGTTTTAGATTTTTGGTAAAATATTTGTAATTAGAGCTGTCTTAGTTCTCTCTTTGCTTGATAAACATAATTTATGAAAGACAATTGAAACCAGCCCTTCTTATTCATGTTTCTCTTATTTTCAAAGGTTCATTTCTGTTTTAATTTTCTGTCCAGAGAGGTGGCATTCGGAGGGAGTTATATATCCCAAACTCACCTGGCTTGCAGAAGAGTTGCTGGCCAAGTTGGCCAGGTGGTCTGTGGAGAACAAGAAGAGCGAGTTTAAAAATACTCTTTCTCTCATTTCCGTCATGAGGTACAGCAGGACATACCAGGAACTTAAAGAGAAGTACAAAGAAATGGTTAAGGTGATTGTGGTGGGATCCCTGGGGATATCTGCAATCCCCTCATTTGATTAGGTGACATGGCCAAACTGCCAGGTAAAATCAATTTGCACTCAGTGCACACAACAGAAACCCAGGCACATGTGCTGTGGAGAAGAATTGGTGGGTTTTTACTATTTTCCAAGGTCTCAAAAGGGAAATTTTAAATCTAAAAGTCATTGGGAACATTGAGTTATTATGTTACCATAATCTTTAATATAAATTTAAAGGTACTTAAAAATCATATAAAAAGCTAAAGTACACAAGAATATATTTCTAAAAAAAATAAATTTCTCAATAATACTGCCCTTGAACAGTTACTATTATATGTGACAAAGCACCTCAGAAGCCACAGGCTTGAAGCCACACCTGCTCATTACGCCAATGCATTGAGAGTTATGGGCGTGGCTGCCAGTGCCTGGACTCCCTTCTCTTGCAAACCCGGCCAGGTGGTCCTCTGCCTTCCTGTGAACTACTCAGTACCTTTAAGAAGGCGTATCTGTGTTTCCAGCTTAAGGTGGTTCACCCAAGTTATATCACCCACTGTGCAGGACACAGAAGTCTCAGCATGTACCCTGGCCACTGGTTTCCTCTTCTGCCGAATGCCACACTCCTGCTGTTAGCACCAAAGATGGGCTGTTGCCCAGCTCATCCTCTGCAGCTTGAGGGCACCTTAACATCCATCCTGCATGTTAGTCAGGGCCTTGGTCTCCTGATGAACGCCTCTCTGTGTCTGTGTTCATCGTCTATCCAGATGAGCAGTGAGGACAGCCTGGTTAAACAAGCTCTCCTGTGGTGTCCAGTCGCTCATCTAAACATCTCACCTACATTTTCTTTCTTGTGGTTTGGGTCCCATGGTACAGGTCATGTCCTGTTACACACAAGTAGTATGTAACTGTGTGTCTTTATGCCAGCTTCTTACTGTAAGAAATCATTTGTGATCTGTGTCTTTAAATGAGTTTGAGTTTTTATCTTATTGCATGATCAGTTCAGTTTAATTTATATGTGCTCTTGAACATTTTTTAGGTGTGGCCTGAAGTAACTGATCCTGAAAAGTTTGTATATGAAGATGTAGCTATCGCTACGTACCTGCTGGTGAGAACATGTTTGCACTTACGTGCATTGTGTGAAAGCTGCCACTGGCAACTCCCATTGGTAACAGGACATTTACCATGTCCTGTTTGCCCAGGCTGATTACACATGGCTCCGCACATGGTGGTTTTGCTTTGTGTGGTTCTTTTGCATGAGTCCAGAACACGTTTGCACTGTGAAACTGAGTGCAAGGATGCAGGCTGGACCAGGGTAGCCATAACAACTGACAGTCACCGTGGAGGTGTCAACTGCACATTCCTCTCCTCAGCTGGATCTTTCCTTAACCAGCTGGCTGGCCAGCATTCCCTGTAACTTAGTAGTCTCGATTTTCTTGTCTGTCAGATGTTTAGACTAGGAAACTTCCAATTTCCCTTCAACTTACAATTCGCTTAGGTGGTGTAGAAGAAGCATATTTTTTTTTATTATCAACATAGAAAACTCAAAGCATGTATATGAAGAAGGCATGAAGAGATTGCTGTCAATCGAAAGCTCATGTCCAGAGGTGACCACTTGAACGTGGACTCTTGTGGTGCTGGAGATGAAACGCAGGGCCTTGTACATGTTGGGTGCGTTACTACTACCGAGCCCCAGCCCCAGCCCCAGCCCCAGCCCCAAATGTGGTCTCCTGATGAGCAAGGAAAGGTCTGATGTCCCACGCAGTATCAGGCCACAGCAGCAGCTGTTCCAGGCCATCCTGGTGCCAGAGACCTGGTCTGCTCTGCTCACCTCTACATCACCTGTCTGGAGGCCCATCTGCCTCATCTGAAGTGGAATTTGTAATTCTGGGTGGGATTTGTGTCTGGATTTTTTTTCTTGTGATGAAGGGATAGAACCTAGGAACTTGCACATGCTAGGCAAGTGCTCTACCACTGAGCTACAGAGCTATAGTCCCCCAGTCTGCACTCCCCACCTCCCTTTTTTGGAGATAGGGTCTTTACAATTTGTCTAGGCTGGCCTTGAACTTTTGGTCCTTCTGCCTCGGCCTCTTACTATGTGGGATTATAGGTGTCCACCACACAAAGCTGGCATTATTCTTGTATATAATGAGTTACTAACTGGTTTTACTTTGCTTTTTGTCTTTCCCTAGATCCTATGGGAAGAGGAAAGAGCCGAGAGGGGAGTAACAGCCAAGCAGTCCTTTGTGGACTTGGGCTGTGGGAATGGTCTCCTGGTCCACATCCTGTGCAGTGAAGGGGTGAGTATAGCTTCAGGGCCTTTCCTAGAGTGTATCAGGTTGGGACAGGGTCATGATACCCTCTCTTGGCATTCCAGTCTGGTCTCCTAGTCAGCCAGGCTGTCAGAATGGCGCCCACAACTGTGGGAGCTGGGGGCAGGGCATGCCTCTCTCAGTGTTAGAAGAGGACAACTGTGAAATGGGAATCATGTGAACAGGCCATCTGTGGAACTTGGGAGCTGGAGCATTAGACCATTGGGAAGTGTCTGTGGCCCTTCTCCTCCTCCTTGGTGGGGGAAATGGATGTTACCCTGGAGAGCATGGCCAGGGTACAGGGAAAGCAGAATGTCAAAAAGCCTGACTTTGACTGAGAGCCAAGGATTGGCTTGTGTTGTTTGAGGCACTGGCTCTGGCAGTGATCCTGGGCCAAGGCCCACTGTGGTTCCTTGACTCCATTTCCTCAAAGACCCCTGGTAGGTGTGCAGGCTTTTACCTGCTTCACAGGGGTGTCATCTCTGAAGAGAGTTGAGAGCTGTACTGTGCTGCCCATGAATGCCCAGCATCTCCTGGCCCTTCCCACTGTGCTGGGCTTGCCAGGCTTCACTTTGTTCCTGCTAACTAACCTTTGATTCTCAACCCGATGGTTTCAGCACCCAGGCAGAGGGATTGATGTCCGAAGAAGGAAAATTTGGGACATGTATGGACCCCAGACTCAGCTGGAGGTACTGGCTTTGTCTGTGTGCTTATTCTCAGTCCAGCTTATCGTCCCCAGGTGGAAACTGTTCGAGTGAGTGTCTCTTTGTGTAGGTCCACCAGACTTGCTCACGAAGATTCATGTTCATTGAGTGCTCTGAGATTAGGAAAGAAAAAGATGGGAAGCTTTAGACTTTGCATAGCCTCTGGCTGCAGGGAGAGGACGCTGACCTCTGGCCAGTGGTGCTGCCTATTGCATGCAGTTTGCGTCTCCATCTCGTGTGAGAGGCCCCTGTGCCGCCTGGGGTGTAGGGAAGCTTTCTCATATCTTCTCCAGGGCCAGCTGCAGGTGCTTGTCTAGACATTCAGTGGTAATGAGAGAGTGCAGCCTGCCAGGACCCTGCAGGACGGCCATGTGGGCAGTCCATTAAGTGAGGTGCCTTTGGAAAACAGGTAGATAGGTGGTTGGAGCCCAAAGTCCAGGCCAGGCTGCCAGTGAGGGCTCTGTCCTGGGTGTGTTTTTCTTATTACTCATCTGCATGTTCAGTGCTGGAGTAGCTTCTTCTAGAGTTAAGTTTGTCGATAGAAGCCAACTATGTTTCTGGCCTGAGGACACAGTCACATGGGAGCTGTTTTGTTGGGTAGCACACCCTGTGTGTGTATTTTCTAGTAAATGATTTTATTCCTCTAAGGTGGAAGGATTTCCATGAATAGGTACAATCTAGAATTCAAAGGTCAAGCTTGGCATATAACTTCTTTGAAAAACCTTTGATTAAGCAAGAGAGTATAAGACCTCAAGGGACAGTCAATTCCTTGCACAGAGGGGCCCAAGGACATCTTGTGTCAGGTGGCCCGTGGCTGTGGCATGTGGCTGCAGATTTGCTGTCTGGCGTGAGGTCTGCCTGCATGTGTCCCATGTTCATGGACCATATTGTCTTGTCTTTGTTCCTATCTTCAGGAAGGTGCAATCACCCCAGGTGATAAGACCCTTTTCCCTGACGCTGACTGGCTGATTGGTAACCATTCTGATGAGCTCACACCCTGGATACCTGTCATCACAGCCAGGTGAGCAGGAGAGAGCTGCAGTGTTTTGTCGCTGAGCGTGCTGTCTGCACGGTGGCTCTAGAGCACTTGAAATGTGGCTGGTTCAAATTGTTGAGGTGATGGTGTGTTGGATATATCAGGTTAAATTTACAATCAATCCCACACATCTTACTTTTTAAGATACGGCTACTAGAAAATGCAAAGCTGCATATGTGACTCACCTTCTGTTTCTCTTGGCCAGCACTGATCAAGACAGTAATTATTTGTAGTGTTAAATCCAATGTTGAAAGGTGGCTGTTTCGGGAGTTTTTTCTGATACCAGGAGGGTTTATCTTCAAAGGGAAACTGTCAGGAGTCAGAGCCTGTGTAGCAACAGTCCTCCTTTCAGAGTGGAGCTCCAGCAATCAGGTGGCCATGCACCCCTGGGGGCCAGTGTGGAGCTGCTGGGGGCTGCTCCTTAGCTCTCCATTGCCCGGCTCCCTCAGCATGATCCTCCAGATCAAGTCTGAGCTTGTCTTTGCTGTTTCGTCGCCTCTGAAATCTCGAGCACTTCAGAGTCATGATTGATAGAATAGCTGGGGGAGAATTATTATTTCTTGTTAATCAGATTCATATTTTATTGAAAGGACACACTGCTGTGTTGTTTTTAGAAATTACCTGGGGAAGTCTAGGATTCATTTTTTACATGAGAAACTTATTGGCCAGGAGCAAACTTCCTGTGTTTTGCCGGGCCCACTGTTGGCACAGGGCTGTCTACTGACCTACCCTGCTCTTTCTCAGTGTCTGGTGGTGGGCTGTTCCAGGTCTTCCTACAACTGCAGGTTCTTCGTTCTACCGTGCTGCTTTTTCGACTTCACTGGGAAATACTGCCGGAGGCAGAGCAGGAAGACACAGTACCGGGAATACCTGGACTTCATCCAGGAGGTGGGGCTCTCCTGTGGCTTCCACGTGCAGGAAGACTGCCTCAGAATTCCTTCCACCAAGCGGGTATGTGGCTGTCACTGTCCTGGGCCAGGCACAGAACCACGACGTGCATGATGCATGCTTTAGCTGCCCAGAATACTCAGAAGGTGCTTGCCCTTCACATCTGAGTGCCATTCTGTGTCCTCTACGTGGGCAAGTCTGTGAGGCTTGGATAAACTTTTGGAAATTGCTACAGTTTGGATCTTCCAGATAGGTCAGTGAGTCCCACAGTTTTGATTTTTGTACCTACCATTCTGTTACTTGTCATCTAAAACCATAGGCTCTTCCTTAGCCTCTGAGCCTTAGCATTCTTACAGCTGTATGACTTGGGGGTCAGATGCCAGTGTGGTTTGAGCATGTTTTGTAAGTGCTAAGCAGCCATACTTAGTGAATAGGTGGGAGCTATTCAGAGCAGCCAGGTGCTGCTCTGCTTCCGACATGGAGGCTAAGGTCACAGCAGAACAAGTAGCAGGACCAGGGTTGCAAAGGGCTCTGATACAGTTAGATTAGCAGTCTTTTCTCATCTGCAACCTGGCTTTGTAGTTAATGCCCAGAAAAGAAGTGCAGACCTGAGGCGCTGTGCAATAGTACTATTGAAACAGGCCCCATCCTCCCAGGGGGCTTTGCAGAGTGGCCTGCATGTGCATGTGCTGAGGAGGAAATTACACTTAGATATGTGTGGCCCCTACAGGGACCATGTGCTCTGCCAGGTAACACAACGCCCCATTCTCTCAGCTCTGGAGAGCTCTTCAGCAGTAGTGTTGTATCTGCCTGTGAGTGAAGGTGGGGTCTTGGGAGGGTGGACAGTAGTGCAGTGTACAGTAGGATGAGTACATGTGCACTCTGAATTTGATCCAGTACGTGTGCACTCTCAATTTGATCTTTGGTGAGATTTTCCATGGACTTTTACTACTGGTTTTTATTTATTTATGAATGCATGCATGTAGCACTGAGGTTTGAACTCAGGGCCTGTGCTTGCCAGGTGGTTGCTCTGCCACTTGACCAACAGCCCCAGTAGGTTTTCATTTTTATATCATTCATGTTGTTTGTAGGTTGTGGGTTTTGTTCTGTGTAGGGTTTTTTTTATATGTGTGTTAATATGGTCAGGGGCTTGCACTTTCTGGGCAGGCCACCATTTGAGCCATGCCTCCAACTGAGGTTTTAGTTTTAAAGTAAGGATTTTAGGTCTAGGGATGCAGCTCAGTGGTAGAGCACTTGCCTAGCATGCATGAGGCCCAGCACCGAAGAATATTTTTAGAAAGGAAATTTTTCATGAGAGAACACTGACGTATATACGCCTGCTGAAATACGGTTTTACTCTCTTCAAGCACAGGTCTGTCTCATTGGAAAATCCAGAACATACCCTCCCACTGGAGAAGTCTGGATGGATGAGCAGAGGGCCCGGTACATTCATGGCAGGAGGGGCCATCCTGTGAGCCCGCCTGGCAAGGAGCACTCCTGTTCTGCACCTGAGGTTGCTGCTGGCAGTGCTGGTCATCAAGACAGTCCCGCAAGCTTGGGTTCAGGGACTGAATGTGTGCCTGAGGCCTTGCCTGCCGAGCAGGGAGCAGGGACCCAAGCTGCAGCAGTCTGGCTTCCTGGTTTCCAGCCTAGAGAAAAAGCTGAGCCCGTGAGGAATTGTGCCACCCTCCCTCGAGACTTTGTTGACCAAGTGGTTTTGCAAGTGGCAGATTTGTTGTTAGCTGGAAAGAAGTTAAACACAGCAAGTTCTCAGGAAGGGAGTTTGAAGACCTGGAATGGAGGAGGTAGGCCACCCACCACCACTACCACACTTCTAACACCCAGCCCAGGACCAGTGCACTCACTGTGGTACCAACATAGACTACAGGTCAGCTAAATTACTGTCAGCTAAACATCCCTGAGAACAGACATTGCTAGTGCATATATATGCTATTTGTAAGTTCATTCTTTACAATTTTCCTCTTAGGCCCTGCCTAACATAAAGGACATGTGGTGACCTATGGCCTTTAACCTTAGAGTGGTCAGGTTCAGAGGCCAAGGCTGTTCATTTTTATCTGTAGAAATTACACAGCCAGAAAACTGGCCACTGAATTCCAGAAAAATGCACTGTCCTCTTGAATACAATTTGATACTTTAATTGTCCTTGAAATCCCCCATATCACCTGTTGCGGTAGAAGAGAACAGTTGCGTCTGATTGTTTCATTGACTGGGATTAGTGGCATCCCAGAGAGGTGGAGCTAGAGTATGTGTTGCTTCTACTGTTGTAAAGTTGATTTAAGTATTGAAAATGTCCCTGGCTGCAGAGGGCACTCAGCCCCTTCCTGACAGTCGCCGCGAGGGGGCAGTGTGGAGCCACCTGCCGGTGTGGATCCACTGCCTCCATCTGGAGTTTGGGGCAGTTGCAGGAGAGCAGGAGCCCCTATCCCTGTGCCTTTTCCTGACTCAAGGTTGGGTGGCCCCTGCCTGGCAGGCCCTTTGGAGGCACAGCTCAGAGCAGAGGCAGTGACACCTTCTTTCCTGAGCCACGTCGTCCTCGTCTGTGAGTGTGGGCCAGGTTCCCTCCTTCCTTTCACCTCTCACCTCTCATCAAGTGGGGCCATCGTGTATGCAAGCCACAGGGGAACGTGGACTGGGGGTCTCAGAGGGCTGGCAGAGCCTCACAGGGGGCCTGGGACACTGGGGTGGGTCTGGATGTTCCTGAGTGTGCTGATGCTTGACTTGTGTGCCTGGGATGGAAAGCTGTTCGGTGAGCAATTCTGGGCCTCCCCAGACTGAGGGACAGAGACAGCTTGGAGGGTGGCTTTGGCTCTGGGGAGTCAAGCACCAGCCTTCACTTGGTGTTAGAAGGTCTGGACTTGTGGAGGCGCTTGGGTACTCTGGGTGAGAAGCAGCTCTGTGGGATGTGGGATGGGGTGTGCCCTGGGCCTCTCAGCCCACAGGTGACCTTTGACCCCAGGACACAGTGGTTCATTACAGGGTAGTCATTGTAACTGATGTCCTTACCATTTCCCCCCAGCCTTCCCTCAGGCATGGGACTCAGGTGTGAGCCTGTTCCAGGTCCCTCCTCATGTGAGCCTGGACTCCTCCCTCTGTGAACCATAGCTGAGGGACTGTGGAAAGGGAAGAGGGCTCAGCCTTTGAACAAGATATACTGACCCCCAGGCCAAGTGTGTGCCTTGCAGCCTCCTGGAGTTCTTGGTGTGTGCTGAAACTTGGACAGGAACCGTATCATCTTTTCTTTAAACTTCCTGACTGCCTCCAGACCAGATTTGAGGCAGCAGAGAGGTAGCCTTGAAGGTTGACTAGGCTCTGATAGGGCTGTAGCAATAATGGGGCAGGGACTGCTGTGCCAGGGTCAGGGCTGGGCAGCCCTGTGCTGTGAGTATGACAGATGAGGTCGTGGAGGCCCAGCATCCTCAACCCACCTGCAACTTGCCAGAGGCGCAGGTGAGGTGTAAAATGCAGTGCCCAGCAGCTCAGAGGCTCTTGGCAAATGCACCCAGGGAAACTGACTCTCATCTCAGGTCTAATTGGGTATTTGGAAATGAACTGACTTTACTGCACTGGGTTTTCTGGTTTGAGCATTTTGACATGTGTGCAGGTTCTAAAAACAGAGGTCGTGAATAGGAAAGAGGCTCTTAGTGCAGTCTACTACGGTGCATGTCACTCCTCACACTGCAGCCTCTGTGTCCTCCGGGGTCTGCTAACGGCTCTGGCTAGAGCAGCTGCTAGGAAGCTCAGGCTATGGGACAACCCACACAGGGAGTGGCGCCCTGTGGCCTGCATGTCAGCACACTCTACTGCAATTTGGTGGAAATGCCGCCTTCCCCTGGCTCCTGTTGCTGGGAAGTATGAATTCTGTTTGGTTGAATGTTTGGTCCTCTTGCTGAAGCACCTGAGGGTTGTGGAGTTACAGACTGAAGTTGACTTCAGGACACAGTGGTTCATTACAGGGTCGTAATATGTTGTTCTGGGAACTCCCACTTTTCAACAGGGAGCTATTCCTTGGCTGAAGTGGCCAGTGAGCTAGACAGGGAGACCCTGAGAAGGCTGAAGCGGGAGTGTGGAGGCCTGCAGACACTGCTCAGGAACAGCCACCAAGTGTTTGAAGGTAAGGGTCTGTCGTATGAACACAGGTCACCATGCTGCCCCGTCTAGGCCTGGAGTGGTCCCTCATGCACATTCTGCACTGTTCTTTCCTTCACTTCCCTCGGTTCAGTTAAATAGCTGTGGTATCTGAAGGTAGCTCACACTGCCCAAAAGATGTCACATATTCCACTGTGCTCACCCAGGTGACTGTTACCCTCATACCTTGGGGCCATCGCCGCCCTTCCCTCAGACTTACTGCAGCCCAGCTCGCTCTTGTCCAGGATGTGCCTGCTGTCCATGTCACGTGCTCCTCACAGAGTCAGTAGCTGGTCAGAAAACCTGCTGGCTATATCATGTGTCACCCCAAGAATGTTCCTGGGCAGGGGTCCTGCTTGGAGGACTCCACAATCTAGACAGTTTTCAAGTGTGACCAAGACGGCCAGAACTACAAAGCCCTGAGTTCTTGCCAGCTGGAGTGCGCTTCAGCTTCAGGGAATGTTCATTTTAAAGTCCCCGCTGGCATGGGCTCACCCCACATGCTTCTTTCTTCTCTTCTTGGCGGCACAGGAATTTGAACTCAGAGCTGCATGCTTGCTAGTCTGGCACTCTTACTGCGTGAGCCCCTCCGCCAGCCCCTGTGCGCTTCTATAAACACAGTAGGCATTTCCTTGCTTCACCACCGCACCTTAAGCATAGGTTTCTGGAAGAGTCAGGAGTGTGGGGAGACCAGACTTGGTCCAGCAGGTGACCAGGAAGGCTGGATGCTGAGCTGGGAACTGAAGGAGTCAGGGAGGCGAGAAATTCAGGGGAGAGCATGTCAGGCAGAGGGACTGTGTGTGGAGATGGATAGGGAGCAGCTGCCAGGCAGGGCCAGTGCTGACCTCACTCCAGCTGTCTGCACCCCAGGACCTGGAGCAGTTTGGGGGCAGCCTCTGTGCTGCAGCCAGGAGAGGCTGTTAGGCAGTGACTTGAGGAGTTTGTTGGTGGGAAGGAGACCTTTGCAGGGACATGTGGCTAATGGAGGCACAGCTGTTAGTTCCTCAGGCCATGGACCCTAGCCCTGGAGATTAGAGGTCTGCCTGCTCCTCTTTGCTGTCCTCAAGAATATGGGTGGCATTGCCTTGTGTCACAAGGCAAGGTGCATGTGTGAGCACAGGTGTGCCCAAGAGCATGGCATGCACTGACTGTGTGTGTGGAGAGCGCTGCCATGCAGGCTTATACACACTGCCGTGGGATGGCCTAGTAGCCCTTGGCAGCTGAACTTGGTTCCATCATGGGCTGGCCTTCACTTGGGTGGCTGCTGCTGGTGGTGGGGGGCATTCTAGAAAGCGAGCTGGGACCTGTGAGGGGCAAGGCAGGTGGCAGCCTGCCAGGAGGAGGTGCTGGAACCTAAAGTCACTGACCCAGCTGAACTGGGCAGCCCCGCTTGGAGCCTGCTCTTCCTTCCACAAGGCGCTAATCAATGACATACTGACCACAGCCTGAGCTGCGGGAGCTCTCGGCTTTCTGTTTCCCAGCACGTTTTTCTGTTTGATTCCGTGGAGGAGTATCTTCTGTTTCCATCATAAATATGCATGTATGAATTGTTTTTCTGTGCAGTTCACATCAGGGAGGCAAAATTATTTTTGGACTCACTTCTGAGTAGGAGGCTTCAAGACTGAGTGCCACGAAAACATTGTCTGATAGCCATTCAAAAAATATGCACGGAGCTGGGTTTTATCTCGCTGTGAGGTTTTGTTTTGTTTTGTAAGCCAATGTGGCTTGACTTGGGCAGTGTGAGAGCATGACAAAATGGAGGTGTTCTCAGATGTCTTCAGGACAGCTAGGCTGACCACCCTTGTGTCCCCAGCATTGTGCCCAGGGCTGCAGTGAAGTGACCGGATGCCAGAGCCACAAGGGCAGGGACCCGACTCTCATCCTTGGCCTTTCCTGGTGTCAGCATGGTGGTGCACACAGGGTCTCACCTCCTCCTGAACCCATGCGTAGTGGCCTTCTTCTCTGGGCTATGTGAGCACGGCTCAGAAGGTTGGGTAACTTGCCCGAGGTCTCAGCTGAGGCCACATGTGACCCCATTACTGGTGTCTCTGAGGATATAGCACCGTTCTGGACCTCCTTCTTCTCATGGTTCGTTAGCCTTGGCTAAGGGGCTGCTGTGTCTGGCCAGGCCAGAGGCGGTGCTGTGTCAGTCTGAGGGCACCCACAGTAGTGGGGTTGTTCAGGGCAGGAGTGATCTGAGGTAGGATGTATTTGTTCCTGTGCTTTCGTTTTAAAACTAGGAACATACTTCCTCAGGAGAGCCTGTTGGTGGTCTGACTTGGAGCTGGCTGGCATGTGCCCCGGAGGGCCGCCCCTCTGGCGCCTGGCACCAACCTGCCCAGGATGGGAACTGATGGGAAGCTGGCTGGCATTCTGAGGTGTATATTGGGAGCACTGGCAGTGCTGGGCAGCCTGGACGCCTGGCTTCTGCCCCCCTCCAGGGCTCCTCTGTCATGAATGCCCACTGTGGGCCTTAGAAATTCCTGGCTGAGCCAATTCCCCTGACTCTGCAGGTAACAGCCAAAAAGCAGGCTGTATTGTTCTTAGTTCACAAAGCCACCCACGGAGGGTCTGCAGCAAGCCAGAGACAGTCTGCCTTGAGGGGATGGTTCAGGAGTTCCTTGCTGCCCCATGGCTGGGGGTCTGTGGATGCTGCTCTCCCTGAGTCTTCTCCCAAATGCACTTCAGGGGGTCTGGACCCAAGATGGCTGGGTCATGTCCTGTGCCACAGTGTCAGGGAGGTGCTTATATGGGGACATCACAAGAATGTCCTGAGGATGCCCCAACCTGAGTATTCAGGTCAGGAAAATAAGCCTCAGCCTGTGTCAGGTCACGTGGCTCTGAGGGGCTTCCAGCCATCCCTGAAGACACATTCCCCCTTGGGTCTCTGGGTGCATCTAGGCACCTCTCTCACTCACTTTGGGTTCTAGGGGCAATATTTAGTGTCCATCAGCTGGAGGCCTACAGACTTGCTACCATCCCGGCCATTGGGAAGCAGACTCGAGGCTGTATTTGCACTTGAAGTTGTCCCTGAAAGTCACAAGCCAGCCTGACTTACTGAGTCTCCTTTATTTCTCCCGAGCCGTGCTGTCTGGAGGGGGTTTTATGGCTGCCAGTGAAAACCAGGAAGGGTTTGGTTGCTTTGGCTGTGCTTCACATGTAGTTTCCTGGACTAAAACAGCCAAACAGAAGCCCGGGGCACTCTGCCCTGTCACCTGACAAGTAGACCCAAATGGCCCACAGGTATCCTCCTGGCTCCCCACTTCAGCCTGCTTTGAAGTCAGCTCCTGTTGTCCACGTCTTCCATCACCACGCTGTCTACCACTGATATTGCAGGCCCTGGCACTTCCAGGCCACAGTGTGTACATCACTGTGCTCTGAAGGTCTGTCTGTAGCTCTCACTTCTGGTTTTCGGGGCTGTGTGTCCCTCCTCACTGCCTGCAGGCATCTGGAGATACTCTGTGAACACAGTATGCAGCAGGTAGCAGAGACCTGCACACAGCCCCAGCCCCACACTGTGGAGAGGACCCCCCCTCACTCCTCACACATTTCTGTTCGTGGCGCTAAAACCCCTTGAAGACCATCACTGATGTTTTGTAACATAGCAGCCCCAGGTCTGTCTCCCCCACACTCCTGGTATGGGGTGGGTCATGGTTGTGTAGGCCACATGCAGCTAGTCTTGTCCTCTGCCCCTCTCTCTGGCCAGCTCTGGAACACTCCGATGCTGTCCACACTGGTCACATGGCTGCCTCCTCCCTCTAGGACACGTGCAAGGCGCTGCCTCCCACCTTGCCTACTGCTGACCTCTCACTCACCGAGGCCTTTCTGACCTCTTGGTAACCCACCACACACCCAGGTCCCTCCCACCAGGGCACAGGCTCCCATCACCAGTAGGGACTCTTAGCATGAGGTCTCCACTGTGCCCCTGACCCTGCATCCTGTATCAGGGCCTTCCATGTGGTGGGTGCTTAGCAAATCCAGTTCATTAATGAATTTTTGGGTTAATATCTTAGTTGTGTCTTCTCTGTTCCAAACCTCAGTTCTGAATGGGCGAGTTCACATTCGAGACTGGAGGCAAGAGCTACAGAAGGAGAAGCGACCTGCAGCCAAGCGGAGCCTGTCTTCAGAGGCTTTCAAGACCCGCCTCTGTTGGTTTTTCACTCACCATCCTGATGGCTGTGTGCTGCCTTCCTCCTGCTGTCCATTTGCTCATGGGCCTGGGGAGCTGCAGCCATCCCAGACCTCCCAGAAGCAGAGACAGAGCACGTGAGCCAATGGGAGGCCAGGCCAAGAGGGCTGTGCTCCCTGGGCCAGCCATTGTGCTGGCTCCCCTTCTTCCTCCCGATGGCCTGGTGATAACCATTCTCACATTCAAAGCAGAAGAGCTACCTTCCCTCCAGACGCCTTGGAGGAGGTTGGGTTTGTTTTAAACCCTGCCTCTTCTGAGTTTACTGCCTGTTTGTATCAGATAGCACATGTTCTCAGCACATCTCCTATGGGGACCAGCTGGAGAGCCCACTTAGACCACACTGACCTGGAGCTGCCATGTCAGCCCCTGCAGACCACAGACTTCCCTGAGGAGGCAGTGCGCCAGCCTTTCGCTGTCCTGGAAACACTGCTAGGGTGATCACCAGGTTCGTCTTGGCAAAGGTGTGAGGCTTTCTGGTAAAGAGAGTGCCCACAGCACCTCACCTGAGGCACTCTAGTAGCACTGAGATTAGAAATCTGTACAAGGTTCAGAATGTCACTGCACCTCCTCCCTGCCATTCTCCACAGGGTCCTTCCCAGAAGCGTTGAGCCAGCTCTTTTGCTCCTTTCCAGGAAAAATTCCCTGTGTTACCACTTACAACTATTTCCAGTTTCACACAAAAGGTCACTGTTACTACACTGTTCTTCCCCTTGGGTTTCCACCCAGTGTAACCTGGGACCTCTCCCCCTGGGCACAATTCCCTCTGATCCTGAATAGCTACGTCACGTTACTAGTGAGGGTGCACTTGGTGCCATTTGTGCTCTGGTGGATGAGTGCTTGCTTCCCACCCCAAGTTGTGGTGCCTGGTGCTGGGCTTCCCCTCATCAGTGGGTAAGGGAAGCCCATTTGAGAATGGGTCCATTTCAGTAAAAGACAGATATGACACGAGACGCTACGGTGTGGATAGTTCGTGAAGAGTTCAAAACCAGGGAAAAGGCCCTCAAATGGTGCTAGTTTGGATATCACTGCTCTGTGGCTCCTGCCAGAGTTAAGAGCAGGTGTACCTGCATCTCCATGCTCTCTCATGCCCTGTCTGTCTCTGTCTCTGTCCTGCACACTGTAGCCTCTGCTCCCACCCGCCCTGGGCTGCTCATCTGTCAGAGTGGCAGGAATACTCGCTGCAGGAAGCAGCTAGGATGCAGGAAAGAGCCTGGGGTCACCCCCACAGGTCTCTGATGTATTTGTTGGAGCTCACGGAGCAGAAGGAACACCTTGGGCTATGAATGAGTCGGAGAAAGCTGCTCCCACAAGGCTTGCACAGAGGTCTCTGAGGGAAGATGAATTGGCCAGTGTTAGTTACAGAGCTCTGTGGTTGATTGAATCACTAATTCATCCATCCTGTGGAGGCTGGGCAGGGCACAGGGCACCTGGCTCCCCCAGGACAGAGCACAGAAAAGGAAGCTAGTAAGTGCCGGCTCCCTGGTGAGTGGAGGCTAGTGATCTTTAATCAGAAGATCTGGGCGGGGGGACTCCCCCATCTCTTGCTCAGCTGATCTGACCTGTATGTGTGTATGGTGGTGGGAGGGGGGGTCTGCCCCTCAGGACTTTCTGCCCTTGCTTTCTGGAGCACAAGAGAGTGGGAGACACCAGGGCTAGGAGGAGGATGGCACCCTCCCTCCATGTGATCCTGACTCCTTGGTGTGAGCATTGAGCAAGCACTTAGCACCTTCAGCCAGCCACAGTCCGAGCTAGACATTGGAGTGCAGTCTGTGCAGCAGGGTGTCCTGGGAGGATCTCGATCGACATCTGCCCTGTGGACAGGAAGGAGTGCTTCCTAACAGCAATGGTGGCCATGAAACACTTGTCTTTGCCTCTCCTCCTGGGAGTTTCTTGGGTGGGGACTATGTGGTGGTTAGGTGAAGAGGGGCCTTGTTACTTCCTTACCCCCAGACTTGCTGGTGTGTCATGCCATGGCTCGGCCTCTCCCCCCCCCCCAGTGGGGGGGTCAGCAGTGTATGGCTGACAAATGAGAAGGAATCACTGCAGGCCACGGCCCCAGACAGTGCTGCCCGAGTTTCAGCTCTGAGTTCAGTGTGTGGTTGGCTCCTTCCTCAGGAACCCAGGCCACATCTCCCACTGTGAAGCCCTCTCATCCCTGGGACTCAGACTACAGGAAAGTACTGACTAGCTGGGCTGCGCCAGTCGGGAGGCATGCAGGCCAGGAGTGGGGTGGGGAGAGTGACCTCAAGCTTCGCTTGTGCTTATAGCTGGCAGGAGGCTGCCATGCATGCACCAGCGAGCCAGGGCATGTGCAGAAGGGGAGGCGAATGTGCATCTGCTGCTCTTTGTGCTCCCTCCCCAGTCCTGGAGGGCTGAACTCAGCCCTGCTCCTGCTCAGAACTAGTGCAGGTTGCTCTCACTGTGCAAGACCTGAGCCCTGCCCACCTCACCAGGCTTGGTTCTTTCTGGGCCTCTGCCCACACCTCATCCCACAGCCCAGGAGCTGCTGGGTTCCAGCTGGTTGGTCTTTGTTTTGGTAGCCCCGATAGCAAGCCTGGAGGGTGTCCCTGCCCCCCCAACAAGGGTTCTGCATTGCCTGTGTGGGCAGGACTTTTCCACACCTGTTGGCCCCAGACTGGAGCCTGTCCAGGGCTGGGGCCGAGGCTGGTCTGGGCATGAGGGGCGTTTTGCAGACATCTGTCAGTGGACACACAGAGAGGTGAAGTGCAGGAAGTCTGATGCACAGCGCTGCTGTCACTGTTGCTGTTTGGTCTTGGGCAGGCCCCTGGCACTCCAGGCCTCACCCTTCTCAGTGTAAGTGGGACAACCATGAGGGATATCCCACGAGAGAGAGGAATCATCTCAAGCACCCTGGAGAGGAAGCAGGTGGCTCTGCCCACCCCCTCTCAGCCCTTGCCAAGATCTCGTGGGAAGGAGGTCACTCTGCACTACAGTGGGAAAGGCTAGACAAATCCTCAGGGAGGTCCAAACTGCAGTCCCACACCCTCAATCTAGTCAGGACATGGGTTCAAAGGCAGCCAGGGAAGGTGCAGAGTGGCCTAGAGTATGGCCCAGGTGTGAATGTGCACATCAAGTGCTCAGAGGCATGTGTGTTCATAAATGCACACACACGTTCACATGCGTGTACGTTTACATGTGCCCAGGGTTTGTGCACTTGTGCGGGTCTAGGCTTTTATCAGCTGTCTCTCCTGTAACCGCACTGACTCAAGGCCTGACTACTCAGGTCCAAGTTTAGAGCAGGGTTTGGCCACTGACAGCTCAGGGAGGGCTCACTGTGCTGTATGAGGACCACACTATCCAGGCACAGCCATACAGGGTGTTCCTCTGCTATTTGGTATTTGTTCTATCCTTTTCCTTCCGCTTTCCTCCTCTGTCCCTGCTGTCCTTCCTGTGGGGAGCTTTCTGGGCAATCTGGAGCAATGTTGTTCATGTGAGGCCCTTGGAGTCTGGGGTCTCACCTCCCTCTCTGCCTCATTGGCTGTGTGATCTCAGGCAAGCCCCTCTCCCTTCCTGAGCTCAAGGTCTTCTATCCCCTATAAGGCTGCATGGATGGCTCTGAAGGCTGCTCTTGGCACTGACTCTGTCCAGGTCTATAAGTACATGAGACTGCCATCTTTTCCCCAGGGAAGTGGCCCTTTAAGTACTCCCTGCTTCCAGGGAGCAGACGCTAAGGTGGATGGCAAGGGACCCCTCAGGGCCATTGTTCTCTTCTGTGTGGTGAGTGAAAATGAACCAAGCGGCTTAGGGCAACACTGTGTCACAGTGGCTGAGGGGCAGGGACTGAGCATGGGCTCACTGGGTCCTCTGCTCAGGCCCCTCTGAACTGCAGCCAGTCTGTGGCCCAGGGCTGTGGTTTCAGCAGAGGCTCGATCTGTGAGGGGACTCTGTGACATCACTTGACTGTGGGCAGCATCTGGACTCTGGCTGGCTGAGGGCACTCGGCTGCCAGCCACACAGACCTCTCCATAAGCCAGCTTAGAGCGCCACAGCAAGACCACTTCCCATCCATATCACATCCTCACCTTTGCTGGAGTCTACTAGTAGGAAGCAGGTCCCAGCCCTGCCCACACTTGGGAGATTAGTCAAAGGTGTGAGTGGTGTTGGCACCATAGAGTCTGCCCACCATTTTCCAGCTAGCTGGAGTCCATTGTGTGCTCACACTTGAAGACACCAGGTGGAAGTACCCCTGAGCGCACAGGATGAGGTAATGCAGCAGAATGGAAGAAAGAGGTCCCTCTGCCCATGCTTCTTCCGCTATGCGAGCCAGGAGACCTGGCCTTGTAGGGGCTGCCCTCCCTGGGTCCCTTCCTCAGATGCCAAGCAAGGTGGTTGGCTTGGCTGGACCCTGACTGGGCCTCTGCCACACAGTCCCTCTCTGAGCTACTGAAGGGTAGCTCAAATGCTCAACCTGCCCCTTCAAAGGCAACTCAGCATCTAAAGGGCAGCCTCCATCCCACTGTACCCCAAACCTTGGCCACAGCTGACTGCACCCCTCCAGAACAACTGCTCCTGGGAATCAAGCACACCCAAGAACTCCCTGCCTTGGGATTCTGACGCAGGAGGTGGGAGTTGGCCAGCAGTGCCATGAACCTCTGTGGGAGACAGACAACACTGTCCCAGAGTGGTCTCTGTTGTGGTCTCCCAGCTTCTCAAAGTGGGCACCTTAGGCTGAGCTCCATCCAGGCCACCGACTCTGAGGCTGGGCAGTCAGAGCCACGTAAGTCCCGGGGCCCTGTTCCTGTCCCTTAACACGAAGGCTGCTGTTCTGCTGGCACCAGGTGGCTCTGGGCTTCCCACTGAGGCAGAATCCAAGTCCACATTCACCTGGAACTTTGGAAATAGCCTACAGATATGATAGGATGTGTTATACAGAGTTAACACATCAAGTGACCACGACCCCAGGAGTGGACACAGACACAAAGGCAGTGGCCATGGGGATAGAAGCAGAGACTGGAAGGATTCAGCCACAAGCCAGGGCTGCCTGGAGTCCCCAGGGAGGAGAAAGGGAGGCAGGAGGAACCCCTGGATCTTCAGGGGTATGCCCCTCAAAGGTTGCTTCTCTGTGCTCAGTTCAGGTATCAGAAACCTTCAAAGTGCTGTGCAGGCAGGGCACGAAGGGCGGTGCCATCAGCTGTGACTGATCCAGAAGTGCTTCCTGCTGGGGCAGAAAGGCCAGCCAGCAGTGTTTCCAGCCCCGAGGACTGTGGCCTGTGTGATGCTGCTGGTCCTTCCGGCATATCTGCAGCCTTGACTTCTTGATCTGCTGGACTCAGGAAGGATGGCGCTCCCTCCCCCACCTCAGGTCTCCTTTGTGTCCCTGGAAAGGCCGCAGGTGATAGGTGGGGCCAGGGGCCCAAGGTCAGCTTCTGCCCCTGGCTCAGAGGGAAGCAGGAGGCATATCCATTCTTACAGAACCAGACTTAATCTTGGCAGCCCACAGAGTAGGCATCCTCACTGTCACCTTACCTGACGAGAAGTCAGAGATACGGGTTGAGTCCCTTGCCCAAGACCACACAGTAACCTACAGTGCCAGAGCCCTGTCCATCTGGCCCAGGAACATGCTCCCAACAAGGACAGAGAAGCTGAGAAAGGGCTCTCCTGGCTCTGAGGTTCGTTTTACAAGGACGACAGGCAGTTGTAGCATCAGACTGCCCTACACCTGCAGCAGAGAGGTGTCCCCGCGTTCCCACTGATCCCCCGATGGCAGCGCCAGGCACTTGCAGAAATGGCTTCAACAGGATTCGAGTAGAGGGAGGTTTCTCCTAACCCCTGTTACCCAGGCTGCAAGGCCGCCTACCATTCCCCACTTTTCCGGCAGCCTGGACAGCAGTGAGAGCCATGGCTGCCGCCCACACCAGCAGGAGGCAAAAGCTGTGCTCAGAGTGAGCCGGCGCCCGTTTGACCTGATTTGCCTTTGGTTCTGGGCTTTGCTTGATCCCAGGTCGCTGAGTTAGCCAGCAGATCCCCTCCCCTTCCTTGGCCGGGCCAGGGGAGCTGCAGCTCTGCCCTAGGGTAGCTGGCCAAGTGCTGCGTGTGCACTTCCTGTGCCGAGCAAGGAGGAGGCAGCCGACAGCTTGGCCTCTCCATCCTGGAGCTCCAGCAGGGGCTGCAGGGGCTGAGCTGTTTATTGGCTCAGGCTTCCCGGGCTCCAAATGGAAAATGCAGCGTGGGTCAGCTCGGCCCTCTCTCCAGGCCCACCGAGAGTCCAGCTGCAGCGGGGACCACGGGAGCATCTGCAGAGCCTCCTGGTCAGCCTGGATGGAATGTCCATTAGCTTGGTCTGAGACGGACCTTCCACATCAGAGCTCATCTGGTCACAGAGTTGGCCTGTTGTGGCCTAATGAGACTAGCAGGCATGTGACCACACCTGGCCTGGCCCTTGGGGCCAGCAGACCCCCTCCCTGTGCCCCAGCACTGAGACCTCAGGGAGCTGGAGTGGAACTGCACCTTACTGGAGAATGAGACCAGCTCCAACAGCAGTGGTGACCTCTCCTTTTGCTCAGCTCAGGCCTAGGTGGGCACAGCAGTGTCCTCAACCATGGGGGCTCCTGGCCAGGCCAGGCTGGACAGCGCCTTTGCTGAAACAGTGAGTGGGGGAGAGCCTTTTTCAGGGCTGCTTGGTTGTGGAGAAACTCAAGGTCACCTGGCAGCCATGTTTTCTGCCGCGGAACATTGTGGAGAGAACGAGAGGAGGGTGCCAGAGGCAGCCCACAGGCTAGAGAGTTCCTGAGCCCTACAGGGCCCTACCAGGGATCCTAGATCATCATTTCCTCTCTCCCCTCACCCCTCACTGTCTCCTTCCCTATTTCCTCTTCTTTTCTTGCACACAAAGACTTGAAACAGATTGCTGGGATCCTGGATCCAGCCTCTGGTCTACCCCCAGCCCCATCTCAGCTTAGAGACAGAGCCCTGGCCTGAGGCTCCCTGGAGGGCGCTAGGATCCACCGGGTGACC